AACACTCAATTATTGAACCTAGTGTAATATTTGATATACGAACTATATTATTGATTATACTCTTATCATATATGGTTTGATTTACTCTACGGCTCCCTGTAGACTAACCACCATTCTTCAGTATACACACACTGCAGTATTGTTAAAAAACGCCAAAATTTCGTTGGTTCTGTGTTAATATCTTTTTATAATATGTCTAGACACGTTACTTTGCAATGTCAGATGTTTACTATATATAAGACTGTCATGAAAATTTAGTACACTAAGTCCTGCCAACCGACCTTACCTTCAGTCCATACTACCTAAATTGAACCTTAACTATAGTATTCTGCTAAATCTTGCTCCACTATTCACAATACCTATTCGTTTTACTCTTTAAGGTTTTAACTTCTTATAAAGTAATCTGTTCATCAGGATGCATGCACACATATATAATATGTTCGTAAAGATGTACGTGGAGACCTATTGGAAGCACTCATTAAGAAAGCTAGGGAGATGGAATATGGGGTACGAACATGTCTGGTACCAAGCAATATATTTGCGGTAGCCATAATAATCATAGTCTCAGAGCCTAACATCAAAAAAGGAGGGAGGGTGGCGTTAGCTGATCAGTAGATATGGTGGTGGTCACTAAGGTGAATCGCCCCATTCTGCAGGAACAGCAATATACAAATTAAAGGCTCGAGATATTTCTGATTTTTATGAGGGCTTAGATCTTTATCTTGAAAAAGATAATAGTGAACGCCTTGACAGATAATGCTTCTACCTTTAAATATATACCATTCGCTCAGCCTATTGTTGAGATGCGACCACGTGGGATCTGCACAGATTTATGGGGCATCTTATAAATTAACTTGCTATCCATTGTCAGATCTTTAAATACCACTTCACAATATCTTGTCTCACTTATTTTCTAATAACGTCTTTACTTGATTCTCATTATATTCCATTAAACCTAACATTTTATAGCTCTTTATGAATTTGATTCGACTTATTCTATTCCTATTCTCTGGAGGGTACGGTTGTGCACCAAATAGAAAAAAAGACATGAAATAAAGACAACTGGCTTGAAAATAATTGTATTAAAGCCAAAAGTGAACGCATGATAGTATAAAATATATTGGTTTCATTATACATTGCAAATGAACGTTGTCGGCCTAAGGATTAATTACTTCCCCATTCTGTTTTCTATATAAATGTGTTTATTAATGATATATTTCACTCACTTAATCTATTACACTTTAATGTTACACCACAGCACTTTAATTTTTCTAAAACAGCTTCCAATTCCTTGTAAACGTTGTACTTACCTCAATATTGGTTGATTATCGTATGCCTACAACCACGGGATGAAAACGAAACGAAGTCGATTTTCCCGCTCAACCTGGAGGACAATTGTACAATTCAATAACTATACAGCCTAGTTCAGACAATGTGTATTTATATATATATCAAATATTTAACTGTTGAAACATTATTAACTTGTAGACAATTTAAGATTTGACATTATATCATCCTTGATCGTGCCTGTAAAAATGGCATGCATTTTCATGTAAATTTATGTTTATATGAAAATAAATTATTATTATTATTATTATAAGGGTATTTTACCACTAAGTAAGTATGCGCTTTCTCGTTACAATCCACGAAGTACAGCGCATCAGAAAGTTAGGAGTCAAGTGCTCTCCTATTTCTTCTCTTTTCAAGTTTGCCGTCTCTGGAACCCTCTACCAGCAGACATAGGAACTGATGGAAAGGTTTAAACAGAGGTTGGCCAATCATTTGATCAATAATAGTAGTTGTCTTTTCCTAATCTCTGAAGAGTCGTGCGCCGTGACAAACTACACGGGTGGTAGCTGTCGACGAAGTGCCTTTACTTTGCTACGAAGATTCGATCAAAATAAATCAATAAGGCTTGCACTGGCCCGTAAAACCATAGTGGATACTGGATCGTTTAAAGTCTAATCAAAAATATTTTGTCTTTAACTCTTGTCTTAGACTGCACGCTTCCTGATTTTGAATCTAAAACAAACATAAAAACATAAAAGTCTTAGACGAGAAGTATGTCTGCTCACAAAATAGGAGAAAACTTGAAAACAATAACTTAATGTTTGCAGACAGGAAATCGTCTGCCTAGCGGTAGGTGGAGTTAATTTTACACGCTCTTGTTGAATTTCTATTTTTGTTCTACTATACTCTCTGGAAGTCTATAGATTAAATTTAAATCGGTTTATTCTGATCGAAGTTACTTTACTTTTCAGTTATGAGGCTATTTAAATATGGGAAGTTTTCGTATAACCTAATAGTTGTGTACTCATTTTTGTGCACTCACTGGTTATTTTATCACTGATTTATAAATGTTAAATATACATAGTCATATTTATATCATTTCGCCGCAATTTGCTCTAAAAGCATGACGATGAAAAGGAACCTCTGTGGAAGAGTTGTGTGCCAATTTCAAGTTGAAGAGGGAATGCAGTGTGATAACAGCAAGAGGTGGTTTCATAGCATGTGCACAATCCTAACTCCTGAAGCATACAACGCTGCTTCAAACATCTGGCGAACTAGCTGTTCACTGACTGCTATAGTGCGACTAGGTTTCGTAGAATGGAAGCCGTTTCCACTGTCAGTGGGGCTCTAAGGTTCACGGACTTCAAGGATCTTCCATCAGAGGAGAAGAGCGACCACTGCTCAGACACCGAGGACGTGGCTAGCGTCATCGACAAAACAACACATGTTCCTGATGCGTCACTGCCAATGAGTGAGTGTCATTCGGCGCAGAAGAGCACCCAAGATATTCCAGACACCCATGCTGCCCTATGATACCGGTTAAGCCCTCCAGTGACAGTATTGGAAAGACTGACACAAGGAAAAGGCATGCCAAGCGTCGAAATCCCACAGCTGAAGTCCCCCAACGACATGTAATTCGAGCATCATCCATAACGAGGGATAGCAGAGAGACATAAATGACTGTGGTCACCGAGGAGGGCGCAAAAGAATAGCGTGGTGTAGTCTCCCTCAAAAAGCGAGATAAGGACAAATCATCGGCGACACTGTACTGAAGGACGGAAAGAAACTTACACTGCAGGGAAAGAAAGCCGCGGAAAGCAAACGTGGCGAAAGACGGGACCTTACTTCCCCAGTATTCATGACACCAATCATAGCTATATGGTCAGTACCACAACCCCGGCAGAACAGAAAACTGCTACCGCGCTCGACATACGTTAAAGTTTTATTTCTCACAAACGATACTATATCAGGAATCAACGCATGGTTGACTGTTCATAGTACTACCGCCCGACCCGTGGCTAACTGCCGTTCCCATGGAACATTTCTCCACTTCGACCTTCAAGGTTCTCACTTGAATATTTGCCACTATTACTAAGATATGCACCTGTAGTTGTTTCACCTAGGCTTACACCCGAGTCTTCCCTCTAGCCGCAGCGACCGTCCAACTCGTCGCCGTCAATCCATGCTTGGATCGAATCAGTTTGCCCCCAGCCTGCTCAGATTCAGCTTGCAGCAACGATACGGCATAGGTCCAACGCTCGAGCTCCATCCATTCTCAGAGCTGCTTGATTCGGCAAGTGAGTTGCTGCAAAATCGTTAGCGGTTTTCGACTTCGATGGCTATCGTCCTCAAGAGATGGTTAACCGTGCGTCGCATCGAAGAACTCGCTCACGAAAGTGAATCGTGCAAACATCTACGCTGCAGATTTTAGTGCATAGGACAAGATATTGACCTCACTGCTGTGTACCGCAGTCCTGACTGCAGTGCAGATGACTTCCTAATAAAGAAGCCAGGCTGCTGGACATCGAAATTTCGAAGTCAGGTAGTCAGAGACTTCAACGCCCCAACGGCTGACTGGACAAGCCTTAAAACGCCATCTCTGAACAACTCCCTCGATCATAAACTGCTGGAATCTAGTATTTCGCTAGCCCTGGTTCAACATGTCATCAAGCCCACGCGTTATGACTCACAGCACTCCTCTTCAACTCTGGACCTAGTGTTCTCCCACGGTGACGAGGCTGATTTCATACAACATCTTCCTCCTTTAGGAAGAAGTGATCACTCTGTGCTCACCTTCAAGATCACAGCAACAGTATCAAGGGCCAAAACTCCAGCTCGACCTGACGTTTGGAAAGCTGATATCAATGAGATCATCTCAGCAACCAACTCAGTGAACTGGTATATCAACTCGGAGTCCCAAGTAGAAGCCGTACGCAGCCAATTTAAACAACTTTGGGCCCAAGTAACCGAACCTCTATTTCCTTGGTCTGTCCTAAAGGGTCTGAGTCATTTCCCCCTGGATTAACTGAGAGATTCGTAAGCTACTCAGACGTAAACACAAATGTTGGAACCTGTTTGCGACACTCGAGACAACTGATACCAGGAAATTAAACAACACATCTAGGAACAAAGTTTTTGCAGAAATTCGCCAAACGAGGACGAAGTTTCAAGCACATCTGGCTCAAAATGCTAAGACACGACCTAAGAAAATTTTCTCGTACATGAACTTCAGGAACAAGACATCCAGTGGTGTCCCCAACCTGACTATTGACGATGATTTGATCGAAGGAAATCAGGAAAAAGCAGAAACAATGGCAGACTACTTCTCCCAAGTCTTTACACAGGAGTCGTCACCCCCGATAAATGGAGCTCAGAGTACTAAACGTAATTTGTCTAAGTCATACTGTTTGAAGTAGCTTGCTGCGAATTTCTTCAGTTTCGTATGATCCTCCGGGTTTATAAATGACTTTCTATGTCGGGGAACTTTTAGTGCTTGGAGTGGAATGGCCAATAATAAGTCATATTGCTGATGAGAACTGGTTCTCACACCGAGTCATAGACTCTTGTCTCCCAGAAAAATTGGGGTCTGCAGCCTCAACTGATTCATTCAGGATGGGCTTGGAAAACCACAGAATGTATTAGAAAAGGATTTAAGTAGGCTCCAGTCCTCCTATCCTTTATCAAAAAATCTGTATCTGAATATGAAATCAGAATCTCGGCACCTGCATAAGGAGTGGCAATTCAAGTATCACGCTACGGTGATTGTTATTATGGGGGTTGATAAAGCAAAGGATGTAAATGAGTTGTTTACTGAACATACCGTTGAGGAGTTGCAGCGAATCGTACGCCAAAAACGGTATGATTTTTATTGTATTTTAATGTTTCCGTAGAACTGAAGTAGAACAAAAAAAGGACGAACTTCGTCAACTTGTAGGAGAAAGACATAGAGATATTATTGACGCATCTGACCGGATATTGCTGATGAAAAACCTTACTTTCGAGGTAAAATCTGGATTATTTCAGTGAGCTTTAGATATCTTCTTTGATAGACCAACTGAGGTCAACTTTGTCAACGTGGAATCAAAATACAGAAATCAAGCAAGAGTAAGTTATGTAATTGTCATTTGTAGTTTTTCGACTGAAACGCAGTCACACGAACTATCAACTGCTGCACAGCTCAAATTGATGCTTGATATTCCTGAATTGGTAGGTTTATAATGTTAAGGTTAATGAAAGATTTGGAATCATATGGACTTAGGTCAACATGTTTCGTCTGCAAGAATGTGTTTTCTTGGTAGACATCTAAATGCAAGATTGAATTTGAGCCACGAGACCCACTTTTCCCACATTAACGCAAAGGTGCTTGTTAGCCGAGCGTGGGACTCTCTAGTGCATCTGGAGACAGCTGTTGTTTTGGCATGTCGAAGACGACTATGTGCTCCTCCATCATCAAAAGAAGTACCAAAATTGTTTTATGCTCTTAATTCTAGGAAATATGTGATTCCCTCGTTGCCTTGTCAATTTTGGAAGATCTGTCTTTACCACAAGTCATTGACGAGTACTTTAAAAGCAGAAAGGTAGGTTCACTTTTACCAGCCAGTTAGCATTGCTTATATTGCTCTTCGCTTTTGTGTTTTGAGATTTTCTTATCTTCTGCAGCTTCCTAATTGTATACTAAAACTGTGGCACAAAACTGATATATTTATGTATGGTGGTGATGCAGAAGTTCTGTCAAATTCATCATGTGTGATATACCTAGAGTACATTCTTAGCTTGATGACCGCTATATTTATTCACCCAAGTAAATTAACACCTTAGACTTGCAGTGTCTGCCCCTTTACTTCTGCATATTCCCCGATTTTAGTTAATAGGTTTTCGAGATAATGTCACCAATAGGAAGCTTCAATAACTAATTGTTTTCACGCGTATATAAACATGACTCACCGAAAAATGAATTTGGATTGTATGTAGTGAAATTTTTAAATTAAAGAAGTGTATCTGTATTTATTCTCACCTGCCACATTGAAGCTCATTTCAGCTTTTTAAAGGCTCCCATTTATATATGTAATATAATTTGACCACACATTCCGAACCCCACCATCCATCCCATGATAGCTTCAGATTGGTTTCGTTGGTGTGAAGGAGGCTATGAAGGTTTGCCCTTGTAAAAGCATACTTTCTAACTATCGTTTATGAAAATAAAATTTTGAAATGGACAACTAAAAACACGATACAACTTCACTGTTTTGAACTCTATGTTACAAACAGGGCTTATCGATTGCAAAGTTTTGAGAATTGCTTTCTCAAAATTACGAGTGATATGATAATAATGATTTACTTTATTCCAAAAACAGTACTTGTGATACAGAATATAGATTGATCTTGGCCGCACTACATTTCCTATAGCTGTCATAGTTTCTGGTTTCCACTTCACTATGTTTTTCTTAGTGCATTTATTTATACTGCATGTAACCTACACGGATACACAGTTTTATGATGTATAATTCCAAAGTAGTTGTCTGTTTCCTTCGTCGCGAAATATAAAAAATCCGTATGAAGGAAATCTAGTAACCTTTGTGGTTCGATAATCTAGTCAGTATGGAAAAATGTGTTACACACTGTTTTTCCCCTCTCCCACAAAAATACTTGCATCATCTTAGTATATTACATTAGATTTATGCCGATGTTTAAGTCTTTGTTGTCTAGTTAATATTCTTATTTTCGTTTTGTAGATTGGTATCACTGAGCTCTATTTTTATGAGTATATGAAACTGGTAACACCTAATTCATGGTAAAAGTTCTTATGCGGACTTCAAAACAAAACAGCTGCAATTTCGATAAAGAAAGGAAGACGAAATTCGCAGTATAAAATGATATCCTTCTGTTTCAGGTTCTCACCAGCTACAGACTAACTGAAATTTCAATGGTTTTATAGTTGACAATAACATACTTTAATGTTTGAATGGTAGTATCAAAGAGATACGCATCCAAAATGCAAGCATTACAATTATTTGTTTTAATTTTTCATCATCAATTTATAAGCTTTTGAAGTTGAAAAGAGGGAGGAGGGGTAAGACAGAATCAGCTTTACCGACAAATTGATGGAGTCGCGATGGGTTCACCTCTGAGACCTATCCTGGCTGATATCTTCATGGGCTACCTTGAACAGACACAACTGAGTTCTGCTATCAATGGAACAGCCTACTACCGCCGATATGTTGATGACACATTTGTTGTTTGCAAAGACATGGATCGCGCATCGGCATTAAATGATCGCCTAAACCAGACCCATCCAAAAATCAAATTCACCATGGAATATGAACATAATAATGAGTTCAATTTCCTGGATCTAAATGTAACAAGAACGAACGAAGGCATGATCAAAAAGTTCATCTATAGAAAAGAAACCTGAACTGGACAATATCTTCACTGTAACAGCTTTTGTCCCATAAGCTATAAACGTGGATTGGTGAGGACTTTGTGCGACAGAGCCAAGAAGGTTGGAGAAGAATTAGATTTCGTCGAGAAATGCCTAAGAGAAAATGGATACCCTAAGAGATTTGTACAAAAGTATAGCAGGGAAAAAGATAAAAAAGAAAAACACCCAACTGTAGAAAAGAAGAAAGTGTTTATTTGTCTCCCATTCTAAGGAGATGCAGTGTCACGAAAGATTGACGAAAGACTGAAAGGTGCAATAAAAAGAAGCTTCTCTACAGCAAAACTCATAACACTATGCAGCACCACTTCTTCTATAAGCCACTTGAAACTGGATAAATACCCTGCCGATGTCACCTCCAACTGCTTTTATGAATTTACGTGTACTTGCGGGAGCAAGTACATTGGAAGGACAGAAAGAAAGGCTTCTATCCGGTTTTCTGAACATATTCCAAGAAACCTGTGTCTGAAAGGAAGCAAATATTTTCAGAGTACAATTACCAGACATATTGATGATACCGGACATCTCGTAGAGATTTCCAAGTCCTTCAAAATATTAAATAGACAAAGGACAAAATAGACAAATTTGCTACGATTTGCCGAAGCGATCGCAATCAAACGATTTAAACCAGAGTTATGCATACAGAAAGAGAGTGTGATTAACCTCTCACTCCCTTGGTAACTGAATTTTGATTTTGATTACATTGTGCGTCGGTGGCACAGTGGTTAGGACTCTCGCCGACCATGCACATGGTCCGAGGTTCGATCCCCTGCCGACGCACACCCAATATCTATGGTCGGCCTGCAAAATTTGGGCTACCGATATCCATGCTGAAAATTCCATACCTGTACCAAAAATACTATGTGGAATCAAGCTGTAATAAAAAAAATAATAAAATAAATAATTAGTCATCTAATTCAGTGATCTCAACTCACTGAAGAAATCTTAATCTCATAAAGTTTAACCGCTTTTGTATTTTGAGTTGCTATGTAAACCTGCAAGCTAACGCTGTTGTCAGTTAATTTTTCCTGTTTTCTGTCTTACCCCTCCTCCCTCTTTTCAACTTCAAAAGCTTATAAATTGATGATGAAAAATTAAAACAAATAATTGTAATGCTTGCATTTTGGATGCGTATCTCTTTGATACTACCATTCAAACATTAAAGTATGTTATTGTCAACTATAAAACCATTGAAACTTCAGTTAGTCTGTAGCTGGTGAGAACCTGAAACAGAAGGATATCATTTTATACTGCGAATTTCGTCTTCCTTTCTTTATCGAAATTTATCAAGGGGACCAAATATATGACGCTTCAATTTCAGCAAAACATTAGGGGACAGCGATTATCTTAAAAAAGTTGTGTATTTGCGCAATACGTTTTTTCAGGCAATCCCGATTTTATAATAATACTATCCAAATCATTAAAAGGAACCAGTTGTTTTAAAATATTAAGAATCTGTCTTATGTGATTCGCTTCTAGGCTATATTGTATCTTAGTACACAATTGGTGGGTGGTGGCTAGCAGTGGAATCCAGGATGCGCGTTTCGTCCTATTTGGGACTCGTCATCTGGATGTACCTGCACTTTTCAGTGAGTGATGATGTTCCCACTGAGACTCGAACCTAGTGCCCATAGTTTCAAACGCCAAAGCGTTATCCGCTAGACCACTTGGGCCACGAGAGCCACCTCTTGTGTAACGGGTCATATTAATTATTGGATTTTTATTGAGACAGTTTTTAGTTTAGAGGTCAACACTCACTTTTGCAGCTTCTGCGTGGTTTCCTATTTACATTCTACGTCCATGAACTGATTGTAAATTATTCTTGTATTTAGTGTCTAAACATACGTAGCAGTAATACAGACTGGGTTCCCACAAGTACTTCTAAAATTCTTTTTCTGTATTTCTAAACTTTCCATCAGAGTCCATGTTTATTTGGTCATGAAACTTTAATCATTTTTTCTTTTAAATGTATTTTACTTTTAGGTCGCATTGTACAGTGTTCTGGGCGTAGAGTGTTCACTGCCTCAAGAAATCATCAAAATGAAGCCTAATTTTATTCTACCAGTCCGCAAGCAGTTGTCTTTAGTTGTTCGACTTATTTCGTCAACCTTAGAATTTCTCGAGTTTCTCTTCACTTCGAATGTCACTGGTGAGGCGTGTGCATGTGGTGGAGCAGTGAATTCCCAAATAACTTCGTTAAACAATTGGAAATTTTACGGTAACTTCATGTTGAATCTTTTGAAATAAGTGTATGGTACTTTTTATACGATGAAATCGTTAAAAAGGTCAATTCTGAAGTATAAAAGTTAGACCGATCCCAGTAGTCAGGGCTTTCTTGATTACATGGAACTGGTCCTAACTATTAAACTATCACTGAAATCCTTCCTTTTCACATATAAGTCCCAGACAGGGTTTTAACCACCATTTGTTTTGCGTTTTAATCTGTCTAGTCACTCAGAACTTTGTTGCTTGTAGAACCATGAATAGTCGGTTGAATTAAAAAATATTTTCTGGCAAACACTGGCATAATTGTTTTTCCTCCTTAGTTAATACAAGTGAGTCTAGTTCATACCAAAACACTGAAATTCTGTAACATCCCAAAATTAAAATTTAGTAATATGGACTCATTTCTAGAAGTTCTTAGCTGCGTAGCTGAGAAAATAGTGTATCCGTATATTGTGGAATGACTTCTTCCTTCCGTATCATCGATTAATATGGTCACGGTCCCTTATTACCCTTCAGACGTAATTAACTGTTCTGTTAGTTAAACGCAATATCACTGATATTTCACCAGCAAAGGTTTTGATGCAGAAGTGTGTGAGCTCGACTTGTTGTTTGGGCGCTTATAATAATAAATTTTTTCCCAGTTCGAAATCAGTGGGACGGGATTTGGACATGTCATCCTTCTCTTCAAATGATAAACTACACATCAACTAGTTATAATCTGAATATTGGGTATTTTTGCTAGTACACACCAGCGTAAGAGAGACTGATTTATGTTTTGTCTAAAGGTGTGTGGTTAAAATGATAATTCGCCCCTTAAAGGTTATACTTGAGTAAAAGATATCATAGTGTTTGGCATTCTTCTTGAATCACTGTAGTGCAATATTAAACTAAATATTAAACTAAGCTGTGTAAAGGCTTATGGGGAATTGTCATCTGAATTGATAACAACCGGTGGTGTCCGACAGGAATGTCCACTTTCCCCATTTCTGTTCAACTTCATCATAGATATGCTAATGGAAGTATCCTTAACTGAACTCAACGACTTAGGAATCGACTTGTTACCAGGGAATAGTCTTATGGACTTAGAATATGCAGATGACATAGTCCTGTTAGGGAAGGATGGTGACAAAATGCCGAGTCTTCTGAACACCTTGAGCAGCAATCTTCGTATGTTTGGCATGCGATTCGCCCCTGCAAAATGTAAGATGCTGCTACAGGACTGGACTACGTCAACGCCTAGTTTAGTGATAGGGAGTGAAGGGATAAGACATGTTGACCACTTCACCTATTTGGGAAGTTGTATCAGCACCAACGGACTGATTGGCGACGAAATCTCAGCATGGATCCAAAACGCTCGAGCTGCTTTCGCTAACTTACACCATCTCTGGCGTAGGCGTGACACCCGGCTATCAACCAAGGGACGTGTGTACTGCTCAGCAGTTCGCTTCGTCCTTCTCTATGGCTCTAAAACATGGCCAATACGAGTTGAAGACATGAAAAGGTTGACTGTTTTTGATCATAGACGTCTACGATCTCTTTCTCACGTTAGGTGGTGTAATAAGGTAAGTAATGTTGACGTTAGGCATTGAGTGTTGGGCAAACGGAAAATCAATCGACGAGGCTATAAAGTTACATAGATTGAGATGGCTAGGTCACGTGCTGCGCATGTCTAACCATCGCCTCCCCCGACGGGTATTATTAGCTGATATAGGTGCAGGTTGGAAGAGTAAGTGGTGGCCAAACAAAAAGATGGCATCAATCCATGAAATCCTTGACAGTTAAACTGAGTCAGGTAGGGAGATGCAGACTTCCGGGTTGGGGGCCTCGGGACTCTAGGAATCAATGGCTGGAGACAATAGGTGACATGGCTCAAAATCGTTGTCAATGGCGCTGATGTATTCAGTCTCTGTAATCTTTCATATTCCTTTCTACCATTACCCATTCTGTTTCACTCTTATACTTGTCAAACTTTATTGATTCTCTTCACTCATCTTCTTGTCTACCTCTGTGTGCAATTTGGAACGTGGCAACTCGAACTGGTGCACTTCGGTGGCAAGTTCTGTGTTGAATCCAGACAGACAGAAACTACCTCCAGCGAAATCATAAACATATCTCCTTAAGATCACCGCTCTTTGTTAATTAAATAAATATATGCCTATCTAACAAATGACTAATCATTTCATCCAGATCAAAATTCCCTAGTTTTCCCTTATTTATCGTTGTAATTGTGCCATTTTGAAAAGTGATGTAGTTTTGTAAGCCTGCTGCTTTTACTGTTTGTTCTAGACTCGTCTACTTTTTCCAAGGATCGACTTTATACACATCTGCCGAGTGATGTTCTCAATTTTAAATTGAAGAGTTTCAAGTTTTCAAGTGATTTATCACATTTCGTACAAGGTGAAGGACAGAGTTCTCTCATAGACTTAGTACAAAAAAGTTGGGATGTCTGGCGAGATGAGTAAGTTCGAATTGGTCCATAAACTTTTCCTTACATTTTATAGCGCGAGAAAAATTGTAGTATGCAGTTATATGTAGTGGAGAAAACTTTTCCTGTTGATCTTACTCATTTATATATTTGAGTAGGGATTATCACTAACAGTACACTTCAGGCACCATCGCTTAAAATTGATGCTACTCTTATCAGTCTGGCTATCTCAAAAGTTTAATGTTAGAAAGCGCAGTTGACTGAGTTGGTGTTCTGTTTATACTGAATTAAGTGACTCCCAAGTCGAGTTGACAATGTGTCAGTCAGAGCCTAACTGTATACACAGTTATACAACACAGGTCTACTTGCTGTTAAATGATAATGATAGCATTTTTGATCCTGAAACGAAACTTGTCTGTGTTGGGCCTAGAAGAATTTATCTATGCTGGAATGTGTACCTTTTAGTTACATAAAAGTTAAACAATTACAAAATGGTGTATTTCTGCGTTTGCAATCAGTCACTGGAATATCCTACAAGAACTCATGTCAGCGATTTTATCAGCAAACTTACGGGACACAACTGAGAGGAAATACTGTGTCATATTTAAAGATGAAGTAAGATTAGTTTAGGTCGTCCGACTTTTCCGTTCATTCTTAATTGTACTATTGAAAACGTTCCGAAAATATGTCTGAAAGATATATGTGGTGGTACCTCCCACCGGAAAAAGACCTCAAATATTCAGACGACAACACAAAGTCTACCTAAATAAATTGGTGATCGGTGTTATAAATGTTCTGTACGCTTTGCATGATCGATATGCAGAACACTTTTACAAGATTAGAGTCACTCTTTGGCGGAACTCATTCTTGCTCGTCAATCACTGAAAGCAGGCACAGTATTTACAAGGGTGCTGGTGCATATATGATGAGTGAAATCTATTGTCGTATATCGAAAGCCAAATTGAGTAAGTTGTTTTGGACATCGAAGATTAAGATTACGATGCTTTGGTGCTTGCACTTTTGTTCCATTCCTTTAAAGATTTACAGTGTAAGTGTCTAATTACTGTGTCCATAGGTAACAGCATCTAAGCAATTCTAACGTCTGTTTAGATCAGACAGGGTAAATATTGCCTCGCAGTAGGTAATCTCATCTTCAGGGACCATCTTTGATGTCTCCGGCATGTGATAATTATGCCTTACACAGTTTGAAAAGAGCTGAAAGGTAGGTAGTTCCAAGAGTTTTTATTTACTCATTTGAAACACAAAAACTGATACAGTATGGGACCAAGAAGATGTGCACAGTAATAATAAAAGAACATATAAAGAAAGGTAGAGAATGAATACAGGACCTAACGTAGGAAGAAAGCAGTTATATTTGACTCGACCTAGTAGCACTTGTCTAATTATTACCATAAAGGCAAGAAAGGAAAATATTACACCACATTTCCATTGATTGCGATTCTTAGCCATATCCGATGACATTTCGAGCCACCGATTTTAGCTATCTATCGGACCTCAATCAAGGAGTTGTGACTCACCAACCGATGCTAACCTAACACAAATATCATTCATCCCACGACGCCACGTCATCGGATCACCATCTCTCCATCTCCACTTTTTCCATCTCGTCCCAGGGCTAGTGAACAGAGACCGGTACGGAGCCTCTGGGATGCCATTCGTGGCACATGTTCAAGCCACTGAAGCCGACGACGCTGAACGAATCCTGATCTCCACTGTGTCCAAACACATGCCGAGGGACCTCAAAATTACAAGCATGATGATGCCATTGAACGCAAGCAATCATACAGAGACAGAAACGATCGAATACACAGAGTCGCCGCACATCCTCAGCTCAGAGACGCCAGGTTTCACAAGCACAGAGCAAGACAGCCCGAAGCATTGATACCGGACCTTTGACAGCCAAGCTAACGTCGCGACGGCGTCTCACGGGATTCAAGCTGACGTATGCCACCCTAACGCTCATTATACGGTTGGAAATCTCATCCATCAGACCTCCGCCAGCACACACACACAACTATCCAGATACACAAACTTGTTGACAACTTCAAGTAGTTCACCCGTCAGAGTGAGTGCAGGTAAACGCTCCTACCAATCTTGAAACAGTGCCTTGACTTAGAAGGTGCAAAGCACATAGCATACTTACAGACACTGGTCGCCAGCAGATTAGGTGCGTTTTGGGCAGCCTGCATTCTATCGCACAGTGAGACGATGTCGTCTGCATACTTAAGGTCAAAAAGTTCCTCTGCAGGAAGGGGATCTTCACCACCTTCACGCACATCCTTCAGAGCTGACTTCAGAATGTCATCGATGGCAAAGTTAAATAGAAATGGAGAGATCGGGCAACCCTGTCTAACTTGTTTTTCTTTATTACTCCCTTGTCTCACACCTCTGCTCACTGTTTCTATTATGCTTTTCTTGTACTTTCTTCTCTTGCTTCGCGTGCTACACGGAGTGTGGCGACTTGAACTTCCGCACATTTGTGCAAAGTTCTATGTCGAAAACAGACAGAGACCTGTCTAACCCCACTGTTGGTTGGGTACAGTGATGGCAGTTGGTTGTATGCCCTCATTCTACCTGAGGTGTTTCTGCATGGGACTTTCAGGATGTTGACAAACGTCTCAGGTACACGCCTCTCTGAAAGACATTTCCAGAGAACAGTTCTATCCGACGAGTCGAAGGCAGTCCTAATATCAAGAAACACAACGATTGTTGGCCTGAAATATGTGTGACGGTGTTCCAACAACTGATGAAAGGTGAACACATGATCAATGCACCCACGACCTGAACAAAACCCAGCCTGCTCTTCACGAATCAGCTCCTTATATGTGTTTTGCACAGTCTGCGAAGCAGCAGCACAGCAGCCAATATTTTAGACGCGACTGATACCCTTATGATTGTCACATGAATTACATCGACTGTTTTTAAAGATAGGGACAAAAATGGCTTCGTCTCACATTGATGATACATTCTCTGTCTCACATGCCTTCCTGAATAAACCAGTTATAGCCATTGAGAGAATCTCGCCACCATGTTTAAAAAGGGCCGGGATGGATTGTCTGAGCGGGGTGCCTTATGGTGCTTCAACAGTTGGAGTTCCTTTCGGAATAAAGTACATTAGAGCATCATGAAGCCATGGTTGTATCCATAAAACCATTCGACTCAGAGTTTTGTTTTTCTACTATCGAAAGTTCTACGAAGGGACGAAATGCTCACCCCCCACTCTATGGCTTGACTGTCTTTCTTCCTATATGTTATTATATAATTCTGATGGTGGATTTCTCGGAAATGATGCTGTACTATGTTTGTGTTTGTTATAAATAAAAAGTGATGATTTACACAAGCCATAACAGCACTTACCAATATCAATCTCTTTCAAAATGTTTTGATCGGTTTTATGAGTGTTACAGATCGTCTTTTGAATCTACTATGTGTATGAACATGATTATTTCCATTATTTGTCAGTAACTCCTTATGTTCTTCGTCTTTATGCATACCGAGACACCTGCTTCTCTAAACTACGTATGAATGTCTCACCAAGATACTACGCTTCATATTTCATGAAAATTGTCACTTAAAATAAGTGAATTTCAATATTGTTTAAAACCTATATCGTCAGTCAAACGCTACCTTATTAATAATATATATCAAAGTTGTTTTCCCACCTAGTTGCTCCCCTTTTGCTCTCACTCAAAGCTCATATAAGTGTACTGAGGATGACATATGTCCATTGGAACATTTTAGCTTGATTCTGTTGACCTACCTCGGACGATAATGATCAAGTCTTTTTGAAAAAATACAAAATAAACTTGAATTGCACATCATCCGTTGATACCTGGCTTCCCCAGCTGGGGTAAGGTCCTAACCCAGTAGACATTAGCTAGCCATGAAGAGCTGAACCTATTAATCTATGCACCTGCTAGATTTTTAAATATTTAGGTCAATTTTCAAATACATGTTATGAATAAAACGATATTGTTCACAATGAAATACGAAGTTACTTCATAATATTGTCTTTATTCATCATCCCATTCAATTCGATTTCTATGTTCATTATATTCCATCTATAGCGCAATCCAGGTATGTTACAAAGTCCTTTCAGAGTCACTATCTCATGTTTCTTGCTTTGAAACATTGGTTGATCTACGTACCGCCATACTGGTACTTGTACATCGGTTACAAATTTGCACTTCGGTAGTTACAAAAACAGGTGATCACACTTCGACTGGGGGTTACTCCAAGCTATTCATATTTGATATTTGGACGGAGTTGCTTCGTGATTTGTTTTTGCGGAGGTTAGAGGTAATTTCTTTATTTTATACCGATTGTAAAGTATCTTAATAAAATATCCTAGTCTATGGATAAATATAAAGATAGAACACGAGAACCATATCAAGGTGACATGATATGAGCAATAAATTGTGCTCAAAACGTCATCAGTAAATATTACTATATAACACTGTGAAACTTTATCAAAATAAATTCTATCCATAATGCAATTATTGATAAATACTTGAAAACCAATAATTAAATATCCTTCTATTTGTTATTCGGAGATCAGAAAGTATCGTTGGATATGCAGAAAAAGGTGCTTTAGAACAAGTTTTTCAAACAGTGACAGTTTCAACACCGAACTGGACTGCAGTATAGCATAATTAGTGAAAGTGAAAGGTATAAAAAGGTTATCTCTTTAAATATAGGTATCAGTATTCAATTTCGCGTGTTGAATGATGTAATACAGCAATAATGATGCTAGTCGTCTAGTGTTACACAAAGTTCAAAATTCAATTGATAAGCTTGTGAAGCTACATTAGTTGAGACGTTTAGGACATGTGTAACACATACTGGGCCACAGCCTTTGTCGGCGAGCAACGTTAGCTAACATATGATTAAGTTAGAAAAGAGTTAAGAGTGACCAGACTAAAATCTGACACTGACGCATAATTTTATAATCGTCAGTATGAGCCAAGTGAGGATATGCATACCCCCCCCCTGTATGTCCCACGCTGGTTTGAGATGGGTATTGATGTCGCTAAAGATTGGTTTCGATGGCACAGGTGCATTAATTCTTCTCAATTCCTGGGATTCATTAAAATCATTATTCTCCATGAAATTATTCTTCCCTCTAAACATTAACATTTATTACAGCTTCATAACGTTTTTTTTCTCTACTTTAATATGTACTTATATGAGGCGTGACGTCCTAAACTGTGAAGTTCTATGTTGAAGATTCATTTATGTTGAGCTCAAAAACTGTGCTTTTTAGGTTGCTTTCTGATGTCTTCTGACCAGCACTACAGATAAAAAAAACAAAGTAACTCTATCTTGCGTGTCGTGAAATAACCATTTGGTACAAAAATGGCTATATTAACCTTTATAGCATATTCGCTTGTTATTGCTGACACTGGCAGCTATCCATAACGTATCTGTCATCTTCATTTGATTTTAAGAGCTAAAAGTTGTATAAATGTGCGTACGTTCATATTATTGATTTGAGTCGAAAAATAAAAGGCTGCTGTTATGTATGAATAACCTTTTAAAAAACTACTTTTCAGGTATTGTTTACTGAGAATTTAGAAAACAGTTTCAATGAATGGATCTCACAGTTGGATGATTTACTGACACGGAATTCAAAGTTTCAAAAAGAGGAAGAAAATGAAATATCTAAGGCACTGCTGAATACCGAAGTAGGTTGATTAATGTTATTGTATTTTCATAGCACTATAATGACCTAGTTTTATTGCGTTACATATATACTTCAACAGTGAATACCAATGTGCACGAAACGCAGGCCCATGACTTTCTGTCATTCTTTTCCTTAAAGTGTGACTTAGTGACCTCATTGTATACCTGACTGGTGCATCTGTTATACCATCTGGGAGTTAATTCGCATTTTGAGTGACTCTTCGTTATCAATTTCCATTCGGTCTACTCCACTTGCTTTTTTGGAGCGTATACTAATATGTAGTGAACGGTCATTTAAGAAGTTTTCAGCACTTACCTTGACAAATAAAGTACCATTATCAGTCAACGTGAATGTATTGTTATTTTCTCTAATCATTCGTATATGCTGCTAGATTGTTTTTCTTAATTTGTTAATTAGTATCAGCCTGTGTTGGGAGTTATTTTTCGACCAGTTATCATTCCAGAAATACTGATCAGAAAGTAAAAATATTCTCCTCTAAAAAAATTATGCCTGGGAACTTTATCGGCCGAATTTCCTGTAGGTAATCTCTACTGAACCCATATAACTACTGAATGACAAACGCAAGGCAGATACTAGAAATAATCTCATTTTCCACAAATAAGCTCCATAAGTCATTATTTTTATTTATTTATTAAAACAAAATTGGTTCATTATGGGTACTAGGAGATGCATCGCACAAAATCTCATAGTCTGGCTGAGGGTTGGGATACTACCCGGACTCCCAGGCCGAAAAAGTGGTTGTCTTAAGGGACTACTTCACAGAATATTAACTTGCAGTCTGGTCCACAAGGCAGCGGAGCTGCGTTGACGGTAACCAAAACAGATTCATATGACATTCGACACTTTCAGATTCTGGAACCCATTTATACCATATATATATATATATATATATATATATATATATATATATATATATATATATAGCTTATTTTTCAATTAGTGACGGCATGTTTTTATTGTTCTAGTCCTTTCTAAAGAATCCCGTAGATGAAGGTCAGATTGATTGGGCCAGCTTTGTTTGGTCAGATGGTATGAGAGACATCAATATAAAAAATTCGATTTCTACTGAAGTGGTCAATCACAGAGAAACATTGACAGCATCAGCCAATGCTTGCAATAATGAAATTTTGTCCCATTTGGTAAAGTCGAATAATGTAGGCCTGGTTGTGTTTTGCTGTCTTGCACATCTATCGATTCCTAACTCCTTTCCTTTAATGGGAAATGAAAAAGAGCAGGATTTGACGTCGTCATCTCATATGTTGGTGTTTTTGCAACGATTGATCAGTGAAAATATGTCCTCTACATTTGAAAATGTGTCAAACTGTGTGCAACCATCTAATTTTGGCAATACCGACTTACATAGAAAACTCCAAGTGTTGTTACCCGAGCTTCAATTGTAAGTCATAATGTGTGTGTATGGATTCCTACTGGTTTGTTGACAAATGCAATCTACTCTTTACTGTTCAGGTTTCTAAAGTCTGTTGTATTAAACTGTGTATGTATCATGTTTAAGTAGAGGGACTCCGTTTCGCTTTTTGAATAGTTAGTTATTATTAGATATAGTGAGTCAAAAGTGATCTAGTGCTGGTAACATTAAAATATGTCGATGCTTTATTGTCTAAATAATGTACTACACTTTTTATCCATCGCTTTCTTGTGCATACATTAAAGTGCATTAATTAGTGTTACTAACAACATTAATGTTTAAATAACATCGAATCAGTAATATCAGTAGATTATGGCTCAATAGCATCAATATAGCAATAAACTGAAAGTCAGAAAAATTAGGAAAGATAATAATACAAATTCATGAATTTATAGTTTCTACTGAAGGCCGGCCAGGGCAATAGTAGTTGCTGGACTTGATTCGTTTGCACACAAAGCACTGGCTGTTTCACGCGAATCGTGATAGCCTCTGCTTGTGATACCTCTATGCTTTTGGCAATTTGTTCGTTACCTGGTAGATGATAGAGAAGGATTCTTCAATGCTGTCTTTTTGACCAGTTCGGACCAGGTGGTCTTATATCGAACTGTTGATGGTTTTTACTGCACATTTACTTAGCCACGCTGGTAGGTGTTCTCCAGCAGGGGAAATCAAGTCCCTAGAGCAACGGCTGATAGAACTCTCTCCACAAATGCAGTTGAATTGGTAGATACAATTCCAAGTGGCGAGTGTTTACGTCACTACTGCATTCATTTCCTGATACCAATTTAAAACAATGGGGAATTGTCATCTGAATTGATAACAACCGGTGGTGTCCGACAGGAATGTCCACTTTCCCCATTTCTGTTCAACTTCATCATAGATATGCTAATGGAAGTATCCTTAACTGAACTCAACGACTTAGGAATCGACTTGTTACCAGGGAATAGTCTTATGGACTTAGAATATGCAGATGACATAGTCCTGTTAGGGGAGGATGGTGACAAAATGCCGAGTCTTCTGAACACCTTGAGTAGCAATCTTCGTATGTTTGGCATGCGATTCGCCCCTGCAAAATGTAAGATGCTGCTACAGGACTGGACTACGTCAACGCCTAGTTTAGTGATAGGGAGTGAAGGGATAAGACATGTTGACCACTTCACCTATTTGGGAAGTTGTATCAGCACCAACGGACTGATTGGCGACGAAATCTCAGCATGGATCCAAAACGCTCGAGCTGCTTTCGCTAACTTACACCATCTCTGGCGTAGGCGTGACACCCGGCTATCAACCAAGGGACGTGTGTACTGCTCAGCAGTTCGCTTCGTCCTTCTCTATGGCTCTAAAACATGGCCAATACGAGTTGAAGACATGAAAAGGTTGACTGTTTTTGATCATAGACGTCTACGATCTCTTTCTCACGTTAGGTGGTGTAATAAGGTAAGTAATGTTGACGTTAGGCATTGAGTGTTGGGCAAACGGAAAATCAATCGACGAGGCTATAAAGTTACATAGATTGAGATGGCTAGGTCACGTGCTGCGCATGTCTAACCATCGCCTCCCCCGACGGGTATTATTAGCTGATATAGGTGCAGGTTGGAAGAGTAAGTGGTGGCCAAACAAAAAGATGGCATCAATCCATGAAATCCTTGACAGTTAAACTGAGTCAGGTAGGGAGATGCAGACTTCCGGGTTGGGGCCTCGGGACTCTAGGAATCAATGGCTGGAGACAATAGGTAACATGGCTCAAAATCGTTGTCAATGGCGCTGATGTATTCAGTCTCTGTAATCTTTCATATTCCTTTCTACCATTACCCATTCTGTTTCACTCTTATACTTGTCAAACTTTATTGATTCTCTTCACTCATCTTCTTGTCTACCTCTGTGTGCAATTTGGAACGTGGCAACTCGAACTGGTGCACTTCGGTGGCAAGTTCTGTGTTGAATCTAGACAGACAGACAAAGGTTAGTGAAGCAGAATTTAATGAATTCATCAAATTTCGGTAGAACTATACAGCTAAATACTCTACATAAATATATATATATATCATTAGGATTAGAAAAGGGAGATATGAGACTAATAAGTAAAGAAACTATATTGTATCAGTCAAGCGATTGAAATTAAGGTGAAACGCATTATTATTTAATTACATCTTTGAAATAAACAATTAGTTGTCAGAGAAAGAACTTGAATGTATGGTAATAATAATGTGAAAAGTTAAGATTATGGCACTGGTAAAGGATAGTTTTGAATTAATGAAGAGTAGTAATTATGAGGTAGGATGAAATATAGAATAATAATAATAACAGATGACAAGTAAGACATATCACCATAAAAAATTCACACCCGTCATTTTTCTGAATTGTTTTAATATAGGAATTATTAAAAAGACGGTTGCAGCGAAGAAAATTTTCTTTTCGACGAAGTCGTCAAGTAGGCCGCACATTCGTGTATTTATGATAAATAGAAGGGAAAGTTCCAGAATAATTCCCGGTCAAGGGGCAAATTAATAAAATTACAATTAAGAATTGAAATACCATATTAAACAGGGGGATGGATAAAACTGAAACAAAGTAGCATCATAATTACTGGGAAGATTGACATATTGTGTAGTTGGGGGTTAGAAATGTAGAAATAACAAAAAGAGACAGGATGTTTGAATAAAAAATATCTAGTAGGATCATAACTAATGTGACGAATAATTGTTTATGCAATCAGGGCTTAAATATGTAGATTTAATAAAATGACAAAATAGACGAAAAGTTCAGATATGGAAATATGGTAGTGTAAACAGATTAAGAAAAAAATAAAATGAATAAACTGGAAGTTTGGATAAGACAGGTAATGGGATGGTAATAACTAAAAGAATTACCTGTTTATGATGGCCATAGCAGGGACAAGGGTAGGACGTATTTCTTTCGACACATAGCGTGATTTTGAGCTTTTGGGTAGCTAGCGCCTCGGCTATGCCCAGATGTCTTAATTTCACTCCCTTGGATAGGTTTGATCGAATCTTGTATATTATTTGAAGGGTTTTCCGAATGGCGCTGAATGTCCTGAATTGACCAGATGTTCCGTCATTGAACTCTTAACACGTTTTCGATCTCCTTTTACTAGCCAGGCTGGACAGTGTTCACGAGCGCGTTTTTCATGCTGATGCATGGTACGGCCGAGGTACTCAGCTCTGCACGAGCAAGTAAACTGGTATACGCACGTTAAAGTGGCCCAATGTGACAGCTTGTCTTTCGCGTTTTGGCTCAACAGTTTCTTTTAGGAAAACTTTAGTTTTAGGCTCGCGGCGAAGTATGCGTTTCTCAAAGATTTTGAGAGGTGTTATAAATGCCTCTCCGAATCTTAAATCTTAAATACACGAATGTACCGCCTAGTTAATGACTTCGTCGAAAAGAAAATTTTCTTCACTGCAACCGTCTTTTTAATCATTTCTATGATCCAATGTGTATATTCCGTAATTCAATATAGTTCATTTACTTATCAGTCTTATATCTCTCAATGTAATGCTAATGCTATATATGTGTATATATGTGCGTCGGTGGCACAGCGGTTATGACTCTCGTCGATCATGCACATGGTCCGGGGTTCGATCCCTGCCGATGCACACGTGATATCAATGGTTTAGATTACCGATATCATATGCTGCAAATCCCATACTTGTACCAAAAATACGGTGTGGAATCAAGCTATAATCAAAGATAAAATGAACAATATGTGTATCCATGTATGTAGGGTATCCAGTTGAAGAGCTCTACAGAAATTTCATGAATTCATTCAATCATGCCTTACTAGGCTTCGTTACCTGTCTTAGTGAGGTACCTGAGGTGTCGAGTTACAGTTATCCTCGCTTAATTAAATGATACTTCACTTACCGATGCATGTGCTTGTGAATGTCAAATGTCCAACTTTGCCGACCGATTTCATTGTTTCTATCGAGCCTAAAATGTCTCTGGTTGTAGAAGAGACATCCAGGCCTATCCCATCCTTAATATCGTTGTATACTTATAAACTGCTATAATTTGCATGCTTTCGGGTTGTTTTTGCCTACATTTTATAGACTATGCGAGAAATTAAACATAGACATTTCAAATTGTATTATTAAATTAACTTCAAATGTTGGTCGAGATTCCTTCGATATTTGGTCACTTGTATTGTCAGCATTGGGGAAAGCCTTGAGTGGGTAAGAGTTCTATTCGTTTTACAGTCTTCTTGAATAATTCCATAGTCTGACTGACTGATTTATTTAAATAATATTAAAGTTCAATAATATTAGCAATACCAACAACGAAAGCAGATCTACCAGTGAACATCGACCCCCCGACGATATCAGAGGTCCTGAATGCAATCAAGATGTTAAAACCTGGAAAAGCAGCAGGACCAGATGGAATCCCAGCAGAAGCATTGAAAATGGACCCAGAAAAAACAGCGGACTTGGTGACCCCATTGCTAGAGAAGGTGTGGAAAGAAGGCAAGGTACCTGAGGATTGGAAGAAAGGATACTTATTCAAACTATCAAAGAAAGGAGACTTAAGTCAATGCAAAAACTGGCGCGGAATTATGCTCCTGTCCATCCCAAGCAAAATACTAAGCCGCATCATCCTGGAGAGAATCAAACAAGCCCTAGATGAAAAACTCCGACTGGAACAAGCTGGATTCAGGAGAAACATGTCATGTATTGATCAAGTCGCCACTCTACGGATCATCATTGAACAGAGCCTGGAATGGCAGTCACCTCTCTATCTCAACTTCATCGACTTTTTGAAGGTCTTCAACAGCGTCGATCAAGAGGTGATTTGGCAACTACTTCGCTACTACGGGGTGCCATCGACAAGTATACATATCATCCAACAGTTGTACGACAATGCTGCATACCAAGTAATCCACAACGGGAAACTTACGGAATCTTTTGAAGTGAGGACGGGAGTGAGAGAAGGCTGTTTACTATCACCAATGATCCTCCTGATTGCAGTAGATTGGATAATGCGACAAACAACGGGCAATGAGGAAACAGGCATAAAATGGACTCACACAAAAACTTGGAGGATTTGGACTTCGCCCATGGTGATATATGTCTGATTTCCCACAAACTGGAAGATATGCAAGTGAAAAGCTACAAGTTGGCGGAAGAAGCATCAAAGATAGGACTCCCCCGAGGTGAACATAGATAAAACAGAGGTGAAGAAGACTCCTGGCCAACACCACCGACAACAACAACAGACGACAATCAGCCAGTATAAATGGGAGGAACCTGAAAGAAACAACCTCCTTCACCTGTCTACCTGGGAAGCATCGTTTCAACTACAGGCGGAACTGACGAGGATATCAACAGCACTCAGAATCAAAAATAACATCCGGATTTTCAACTCCAATGTGAAGTCAGTCAGTGCTACTGTACGGATCAGAGACTTTGTGAGTCATAAAGAGCATCTCAAACAAACTTCAGACCTTCATTAACAGTTGTCTTCGCTCAGTACTCAAGATCAGATGGCCGTTCAGAAAAGATCAGCAACAGGGATCTCTGGCAATGAGCGAACCAACCAGGAACCGATTATGAAACAAATAGTCAGGAAGAAATGGAGATGGACTGGCCATACTCTGAGGAAACCATCAAGTGACATCACTAGACAAGCCGTTGCTCGAGTGAAACCCGAAAGGGAAGCGGTCTGCGAGTTGGTCATGTGAAAAGGAGATGAAAGCATGTGGGCAGACTTGGAGCGGGTTGAAAAAGTTGGCAGAAGACAGAAGGCAATGGAGACGCGCAGCTGAAGCCCTATGTTCCTCTAGCAATTAAAGGATACAATAATAATAATAAAGTTCTTCTAGTCCTACACTTACATCTATTGAATACTGGTAGTCGATCATACTTTTAAGTAGTTTCGTAATATTCAGTAACTTGAAAAAAATCAGTAATACTCCCTAAAAACACTTATCATCAAAGCTTTCATGATTGCCACTTTTCCTAAAACATAGTGAGCTGATGGCTACAGATCAAACAGCTGCTTTTCATATTCTACTGCTCGTATATTAAAATAAGACAGACTACTATACAGTACACACACTTTTTGTCATATTTAGCCTAAATGATGATGGTGAAATTTGATCAACCAGTTAAACAGACGAAATAATCAACGCAGTACGGAACGGCTGCGTATTATCCTATATTTCATAGGGGCTGAATTACATTCCAAGCAAACTGAGATGTCTGCATTTAGTCAGCGTTTTTACCTTGAGAAAATATGTCGTCCTCATGCTCTAAATCAATGAGGATTAATCTGTAGGGGAACACTTATTCCAGTGACTCCGAAGTAAATGACAGCCGAATCCGTCAGCACGTGTAAAATGAAGTTAAACATTCAGCATCCTTAATGGATACTACTAGCTGTTGTTTCTTCAATTACGCCTGTTCGAGTTGCGATAAATATTTTCGTTACATTTAATGCTAGCATTCGTCTCCCTGTAAAAATTCCAATAGGTTAAAAAGCATGAACACCTCAGTCTTGCTATCACTGAAACTCCAACCACTGAATCTTGATGCATCCACGAAGAGAGACCGTACTATCTTCCTGTCCAAGCTACAGTATGACGAGTCCTGATGTAGGTGACTTATATTCAACCGTAGAATCTCAGGAATCGTACGAAAAGAAATGAATGGTGTGAAGTACGTAGACAGTATGTGGTCATTTTGATTGAATTGTTGGTAAATACCATCTTTTCAACTTCAAGTACAAGAATTAGAGCATGTCTGAGGTGTTTTCATCCCTGTCAAATATAAGGTGACGCTACAGTATGGGTGTGTACTAACTCAACTTAAGAATCGAAAGTGAAGCAGTTAAATTTATCCTTAAATTGATTAAATTTAGTATCATTTCGACCAGTTGCAAAACGAATTGAACTTTTCTGTACATTTTACAAAGTACTGATTTTAATAATAACGTGTTTCACTTTTTCATCTCTATTCTTTTCCTTTTTATACTATTTCTATCCAGGTTGGCTAACTGGATAACGAAAAAAGCTTATGGAAAAGAAACAATCAACGATGACTGTACAGATGTATCTCTGCCTCTGAAAATTAGTCCATCCTCTTGCCTACTTCTTTCACGTGCCTGGTATGCTCTAGTGGATTGTTGTCCGTCTATCATTGCAGCATCGATCGCTGCCACAGGACAGATTGAATCAGGTTGTGCTGTGAAACCTGGCCTGAATAACTCCACCAATTCAACAAACTCTGTAGAATATAGTTCAACGACGTACGTCAATAAATTATCATTATTATTATTGCTCCCTTGGGTTCCTAGTGGAACATAGGGCTTCAACTGCACGTCTCCATTTTCTTCTGTCTTCTGCTATACTTTTCGCCTGCATCCATGTTAATCCATATTCTTTCAACTCCTCTTCGCACGATCTCCTCCATGTCACCCTTGGACGTCCCACACGCCGCTTCCCTTTCGGGTTCCACTCGAGGGCTTGGCGCGCGATGTCACCCAGCGGTCTCCTCAGTGAGTGTCCGATCCATCTCCACTTTCTCCTGCATATTTGTTGGGCGATTGGTTCTTGCTTTGTTTGTTCCCATAATTCCTTGTTGGTGATTCTTTCCGGCCATCTGATCTTCAGTATTGAGCGAAGACAGTTGTTAATAAAGGTCTGCAGCCTTTTGGAAATATTCTTTGTGACCCGACAAGTTTCTGATCCGTATAGAAGAACTGACTTTACGTTTGTATTGAAAATCCGAATTTTGTTGGTGATGCTGAGTGAAGAAGATTTCCAGATTGATTTCAGGCTGATGAATGTGTTTCTCGCCTTCCCGATTCTCGATTTGACGTCCTCGTCCGCTCCTCCTGTAGTTGAGACAATGCTCCCTAGATCAGTGAGTGAATGAAGTCACCTCTTTCAAATCCTTCCCGTTGATGGTGATTGACGTTGGATGTTGTTGCTGTTGTTGGTTGGTTATTTTCATAACCTCCGTCTTGTCTACGTTCACATGGAGTCCTGTCTTCGCCGGCTGCTTCTTCGACCAGTTCGTCGGTTCTCGCTTGTAAGTCTTCGATTGTGTGTGACATCAAGCATAAATCATCCACGCGCGAAATCCAGGTCTTCTAGGTTCTTCACGTCTGTCTGTCCAGGATATTCCTGTCTTCTCGTTTCCCACTGTCTGACGCATAATCCAGTCAGTCCACCACAATTAGGAATATCATTGGTGATAGTAAGCACCCTTGTCTGACTCCTGTGTTTACTCCAAACGCCTCGCTGAGTCTTCCGTTGTGGATCACTTGGCAGGTGCCGTTGTAGTACAGCTGTTGAATAAGGTTGATGAATATTTGGGGTACGCCATAGTACTCGAGTAATTTCGAAATTACTTCACAATCAACGCTGTCGAAGGCCTTCTCAAAGTCTATAAAGTTGAGGTAGAGGTTTGATCACCATTCCATGCTTTGTTCGATGATGATGCGTAGAGTTGCAATTTGGTCAGTACATGATTTGCCTATCCTGAATCCAGCTTGTTCTGGTCGGAGTGATATTTATTATCGTATTGGCTTAACACTCAAATTTCATTTTATTCTCAATCAAAAACGAATTTATTTTTGGTATTCGTTTTATTTTTATCCTAACACCTATAATTTCTTCATGTGCCATGATTATCATTATTATTGCCTTGGGTTCCGAGTAGAACATAGGGCTTCAGCAGAAAATCTTCATCTGAACGCGTCGTCTGCAGTTCTGTTTAGGTGGCTCCATGATTGCACACAAGCCCTCATCTCCTCAAACGACCTCTTCTGTGTCACTCCAAAAGTTCAGAGCGTCGTTTCTCATTCGTGTTCCACTCAAGGGCGCGCGATGTCATTCGGCGGTGTTTTCAGCATGGGTCCGATTCACCTCTGTTTCCTTCGGCATATTTGTTGGGTGACAGGTTCCTGATTCATTCCTTCCCAGGGTTCTCTGTTTCTAATTCTTTCTGACTGACCACCTTATCTTCAGTATCGAGCCAGCAAAAGCAGATGTTGATAACAGTCTGCAGCAGGCTGTTGGAAATGCTTTTGGAATACTGTCCCCGAACCATACAGAAGAACGGACTTAATATTGGTGTTAAAATCCCGAATCTTATTCTGTACACTGTTTGCAGCACATTTCCAGATTGAATCAAGGGTAATGAATGTCTGTTTTGCTTTCCCTATCTTGTCTTTGACATTCTCATTCATGATGTCACCTCTACTTGAAATTATGCTACCCAAACAAGTTGAACAATTGATCTCGATACATTTTATTGTTGATGGTGATTGGTGTTTGTTATGATTGGTTGGTTATCTTCACCACCTGTCTTCTGTATCTTCCCTTGAGTTCCTCTCTGGGCTATTTCTTCAGCTAAGTCGTTGGTTTTCACCTGTAAGTCTTCGAGGTTAAGTGACATTAGACATAAGTCGTCTGCGAAGTCCAGATCTCATTCTTTTTGTCCACCTAATGTATTCTCACCTTCTCGCTTCTCATGTTAGTGGAAAAGGTAGAATAATCATATGGCGAGACAGTTCCTACTATGGTATATTCCTGGTAATCTACATTTCTTTCTTTAATTAAATATCAAGTTCCTGAACTGGAATCGCACATGCTTTCAGTAAATGCAATCATTGATATAAGTATAAAACTTGGGCACTGTGGTAGAGTATAATTCCATTATAGATAAGATTTTATTTTGATAAATCGCACAGTGTTTACAGTCATATGAACTGATGACGTTTCGAGCACAAACTATTGCTCATAATCATATCAAGTTACTCACACAACTTTGATCTCTCATTTATATACATGTGTGGAATGGATTAGATATTGGATTAAAAATCAATGTGAGATAATGTACATTCAGAAATAATCGTACGAGTGTTGTTGATCAATTGCAATTAGATGGGAAAATTGGACGAGTGTTTTTACAGTCATAATAAGCTGCTTGTTAGAATGTGTTTGAATTGAAATAGAATTCTAACAAGCAGCTTATTATGACTGTAAAAACACTCGTCCAATTTTCCCATCTAATTGCAATTGATCAACAACACTCGTACGATTATTTCTGAATGTACATTATCTCACATTGATTTTTAATCCAATATCTAATCCATTCCACACATGTATATAAATGAGAGATCAAAGTTGTGTGGGTAACTTGATATGATTATGAGCAATAGTTTGTGCTCGAAACGTCATCAGTTCATATAACTGTAAACACTGTGCGATTTATCAAAATAAAATCTTATCTATAATGAAATGCAATCAGGTTTTTTGCCGCTTCATGGTCATGAACAGTTTGATGTTATCAGTATTGTATTCATAAACCACTGAGCGTTACCCCTTCATGCTACTCTTAGCTCAACTTTTTTCACATTCTTTAATAAAACGTCTTTTCATATGACTAGCGTGTTCGCGATTGTAGTTGCCAGTGTCAAGCATTAACGTACTATTTTCTTCTGAATTTGTGTTACTCTCATAGTATTTCTAGTTAGAAGAAAGTTTTGCAACATACCAGGTTTGCTGAACAGTTTTTGCTCCATCATTTCAAGCACATAGTATCTTCTGAATATCATGTTTATAAAGAAAGCCTTTTATCAAGTATAAAGACACCTTGTTCAGCCTTTCTTACATTTTACTTTTACGTTTTGAGTTGCCAGAGCTGTCATTTTATTATTCAGCGAAGAGTCCCTTTTCGGCGAATTCATTTTCTTAGCTGTACAATCTCAAATATGTATTTGTTATTTAGTATGTATGTGTACATTAAGTTTGTCAAACAAAATTACAATTGGTTATGGTTATTTTAACTAAACAGGTGAAAAGAAGTTATATAATATATATATATATATATATATATATATATATATATATATATAATAACTTCTTTTAACAACTGTTTGTGACAACTCATCATCTTTGTTACTACCCTAGTTTCATTAGCACTTAATTTTCTTGACTGATTTTGTATTACCAACCTTCACCTGTTTAGTTAAAATAACCATAACCAATTGTAGTTTTCTTTGGCAAACTTAATGTACACATACATACTAAATAACAAATACATATTTGAGATTGTACAGCTAAGAAAATGAATTCACCGAAAAGAGACTCTTCGCTGATCTGCGTGTTTTGTTTTCATTAGTGGCTGGATGGGAATTATCCATGAATGTTATTATTCACTGAGGGTCGTGCATTCTTCATTAGTAATGATTATTTCTACATAAAAGTTTATTATACATACTTTTTGTGTGGGTTTCTCAACATTTAGAGAAGGTTTGGTGTGGGCAAATATTTCATTGTTACGTCGTGGATGGGATTCTCTAAGTCAGTCATTGTTTCAATTAGTCAACCGAATTACATTGGATTCTTTGGTGAATGCTACAGTGGAAGACAAAATTTTCAAAGAATTCTGTGATAGTTTATATTCAATGTTTTCGGTCACCTGTAAAAAAACTGATGATGCATGTATAAATGATAATTCTGAGTCGAATGTCTCTTTCGATGAAGCCACAGTTAAAAGTCTTTTACTGAAGTATGCCAATGTTGATGTCATGTCAAGGGGTATAGTGGTGAGTAAAATCTCTTTTCCTTATGCGTATATAGTAGAAGAAATGATCTAAATTTTCGACATTAGTTTAGAGATATTGATGACATGTCAAAATGTAGGCTACAAAATTTATAAATTTAAACAATCGATATTTCGTCAGAATGATATACTCCAAAGGTCAGTAATAGATGATTATCTGAAGCCAAAATGCAGCACTGAGGTCAGAGACATTGATACTGATGTTTTCGTAACAAATGTCCATAAAAATATCCAACTTCAGTTCAGTATATAGAACTAGAGAACCGGATATTACTACATACTTATTAATCTCTGTTAAAAGGGAAAATCTGTTAAGACTAAGTGTATAGGTGTTTTCCGTGGTATGACTTTCCATCCTGTGGTAGTGTTTCTAAAATATTCATTTTCACGTACATGTACTTATGAATACAATAGACAAGTTGTTCTTGTTGACTTTTTTCACTAGTACTAAGTTAGATTTTTTATTTTCCTTCACGTTCCCCGGTGGAACATAGGACTTCAAGCTAGTGGCTTGAAGTCTCTGTAGCAGTATTTATTTCACAGGATGGGGTTGCTAGCCTCATACCCAACCTTTCCTCTTTACCAGGATTATTTCTGGCTTAGTGGGGTAAAGGAGTGTGTCGGCCGGGGATCGAACCCCGGACCATGTGCATGGTCGGCGAGCGTCTTAACCGCTATGCCACCAACGCACCTCTAAATTAGATTAGTATTACTGAAATTCTTTGCTTAATTTTGTGTGCATACGTTGTTTATCTTTAAGAGCATAGAATGGTTACTTCAAAGTAATTTCCAGGATATGAATGTTTTTATCGAACCTGAGCAATTAATCTGACACTGTCTAAATTCATAAATGAGGCTTTCAATCAATCTTGTGCAAACTAGTGTTGCTAAGAGTATAGATGTGCCATTATATTTTCGATAAAAATTAAAGGTATACGCAAATAAGTAAGACTACTACTGTGTGAACTCTCTTACTCAGAACAAATGTTTCATGTAGAAGGCTGAGAGGTACACTTATCACGTGAGAGTTGATGCTACTACCCAGTTGTCCAGACTTAAGTAAGGAAAGGGACTTCAGTCCGTTACCAGTTAGCTAAAAACTGAGTGCTTAAGTGAATTAGCCGCATCTCCACATGATTATTGTCGAGACGCAATCAATAAACTTGCATTAAAAGACATTTGCATTTGCTGAAGTTTCTTCTTTGTTTTAAAAAATATATGTAAAGTGTCGAACTGTCGGCTCTTCTTGCAAATATTAAGTGTAGCATAGATCTTGCATTGGTAATCATTTAAGCAATATTTCTTGTTTATCAAGTATGTTCTTTAACTTACCGCTGATATTATTCAATAATAGTGGAATCAGCAGCGTATTATTTATGTTTGGTATTGTTTTAAAATTGATAGCTATTTGGTTAACTAGTACTAGAAGTAAGTTTAGATTATAAACTGATAGCTAATAATTTGATGACGCATAATAAAAAGCGAACTTTTGGTCAGTATTGGTCAACTCTCTTCATATTTGTTTATATCATTTCTACTTGTCACGAAAAATATTAATAAAGTACTACATTGTTTGCACCTTTCTATTACCTACCTACGAAGCTTTTAACTGATAACTAGATCGGTTAAGCCACTTTTCTGTTTTGAATCTAACCTTTCATATAGACCCGGCTGACAACTGCTACCTTGTCGTGGTGGTCGGGCACGAATACCTCAGTAACCCAACAGGCTAAACTGGCTGGGACTCATGTTCCTGCAAGTCTTACCATGTCAGGAAGGTTGTTTGGATAGCGGCTAGACTAATAGCGGTTACCCTGGGGTACAAAGGCTCCAGAATCCAATCGAATAAAATGGCGTATCAACCTACACTGGTCACAAGGAACCGTGGGAACGTAGCTCCTTACGCTACTCCTCTGCCTTCCGGATTAGACTCCGAGTCAAAGGCCCCGGGGATGGTCCGTTAAGAAAACCGCCTGCTTCTGTCTAGGCGCCCGGGCAGTATCTCAGCCTTCACACAATAAATGAAATGAAGCAACAAACTATCAGTGAAACTTATCGCGCACTAGTAACAATACTTTTAAGCAATGATCATGTCTCAAGTAACACATCTCTTTCCAACCTTACTTTTATTTGTACACATAGACTCCTATATTTTACCTTTGCTAAACTTGACTTCTTCACATTCGACAGCCTTTCGCCTTTATCTGAATTCCTAGCCTATCTGTACCGTTCCGAGATGTTAGTGAGTAGCCTTCAAAACGGTTGTTCCCAATGTGACACCTAACACAGATACCCTAAAACCTCTTGTCGCATTCAAGCTGGCCACCTACAATGTTCGGATACTGATGCAAATCGGACAACAGGCAGGGTTTGTAAGAACATTGGAAAGCCTCTCTATCGATGTCTGCTGCATTCCGGAGACCCGCATTCAAAATCCCAGTAAAGTGCTTCGATCATCCTCGCCATCTGAAAGTTATAGTAGTATGTACCACCTGCGCTTGTCCGGGTACTCTGTGGCTTCGGCATCCGGCATAGCTGGTGTTGGCGTCACACTTAGAGCTAGAGCTGAAGCTGCATTGCGCGACTGGGTTCCCATGTACAGTCGTTTATGTGTTGTGAGGCTGGTAGGTTATACGAAAGTAAGGAGTAGTAGGCCACATAGGCGGTGTCTATTTGTTGTCCCTGCCTATGCACCGACGGACTGCGGCCCGGATGCAATGAAGGATAAGTTCTACTACCAACTTAGCGATCTCTTGAAACAGGCAGGTCGGAGGGATATCGTAGTGCTGGCTGGGAACTTAAATGCACAGGTTGGACGTCTAAGCTCAGAGGAGAATCGTCTAGGTGGTCAGTGGGGACTACATGGTCGCAGGTCAGATGATGGAGGCCATCTTCTGTAGCTTTGCGCGGATCATAACTTATTTCTAGCCAGCACCAACTTCCTCCACAGCCATCTCCGTAGCGCTACCTGGCGTCCTCCCTCTGCGAATCAAGCTTGGATTCAGATTGATCATATTGCTGTCAGTTTCCGGCGGCGAGGATGCATACAAGACTGTCGCTCCTTCTGGAGCACACGCCTGGACTCCGATCGTGTGTTAGTGTGTGCCAAGTTCGTCTTGCAATTTGGTGGGGTTCATAAAAGGCGTCGTCTAAACGTTGATGTGAGCAAACTACTAGTACCTGCTACTTCTTTGAAATATCAGAATGAGTTACAATCAATGCTTGCCAGCAACCCCCCAAGTAGTATAGATGAACATTGGCTACATCTGCAAGGTGCCATGCAAATGGTGAGTATAGCTGCTTGCGACTTGAAAGAATGCTCCGATAAAAACCACTGGATTTCTGCGAGTTCCTTGCTACTCCTAGATAAACACCGGTGCATTCTGGCTGGCAGCGAATACAGCAATAAACGAAAGGTGCTTAGGCGCAAGATTAGGCAGTGTTTACGTAAGGACCGCAAAGCCTAGTGGTCAGAACGTGCGTGTGAGGTAGAGTCAACTTCTGCATCTGGCAACAGTCGGAAGCTGTTCCAGCTTATCCGAGCCACCGGCAGCAAGAAACAAGGTGTCAGTGAGACGGCCTGTGAGGTAGATGACACGCCGATTACCAGCCTGAAAAGACTCCTCGAACGCTGGGCATAGCACTTCGAGAAACATTTCAGTTGGCCACCAGCTTCAGTATTTGCTGTCACTAGCTCCAGTGCTCCATGGTCAGTTAGTACCGACTCACCAAACGAAGCGGTAGTCTGTAAAGAACTCCAAGTGTTCAAACTCCATAAGGTATCCCGCCCAGACAATCCACCCCCGGCACTTTTTAAACATAGTGGCGAGATTCTCTCAATGGCTTTAACTGGTTTATTCAGGAAGGCATGTGAGACAGAGAATGTATCATCAATGTGAGACGAAGCCATTTTCGTCCCTATCTTTAAAAACAGTCGATGTAATTCATGTGACAATCATAAGGGTATCAGTCGCGTCTAAAATATTGGCTGCTGTGCTGCTGCTTCGCAGACTGTGCAAAACACATATAAGGAGCTGATTCGTGAAGAGCAGGCTGGGTTTTGTTCAGGTCGTGGGTGCATTGATCATGTGTTCACCTTTCATCAGTTGTTGGAACACCGTCACACACATTTCAGGCCAACAATCGTTGTGTTTCTTGATATTAGGACTGCCTTCGACTCGTCGGATAGAACTGTTCTCTGGAAATGTCTTTCAGAGAGGCGTGTACCTGAGACGTTTGTCAACATCCTGAAAGTCCCATGCAGAAACACCTCAGGTAGAGTGAGGGCATACAACCAACTGTCATCACTGTACCCAACCAACAGTGGGGTTAGACAGGGTTGCCCGATCTCTCCATTTCTATTTAACTTTGCCATCGATGACATTCTGAAGTCAGCTCTGAAGGATGTGCGTGAAGGTGGTGAAGATCCCCTTCCTGCAGAGGAACTTTTTGACCTTAAGTATGCAGACGACATCGTCTCACTGTGCGATAGAATGCAGGCTGCCCAAAACGCACCTAATCTGCTGGCGACCAGTGTCTGTAAGTATGCTATGTGCTTTGCACCTTCTAAGTCAAGGCACTGTTTCAAGATTGGTAGGAGCGTTTACCTGCACTCACTCTGACGGGTGAACTACTTGAAGTTGTCAACAAGTTTGTGTATCTGGATAGTTGTGTGTGTGTGCTGGCGGAGGTCTGATGGATGAGATTTCCAACCGTATAATGAGCGTTAGGGTGGCATACGTCAGCTTGAATCCCGTGAGACGCCGTCGCGACGTTAGCTTGGCTGTCAAAGGTCCGGTATCAATGCTTCGGGCTGTCTTGCTCTGTGCTTGTGAAACCTGGCGTCTCTGAGCTGAGGATGTGCGGCGACTCTGTGTATTCGATCGTTTCTGTCTCTGTATGATTGCTTGCGTTCAATGGCATCATCATGCTTGTAATTTTGAGGTCCCTCGGCATGTGTTTGGACACAGTGGAGATCAGGATTCGTTCAGTGTCGTCGGCTTCAGTGGCTTGAACATGTGCCACGAATGGCACCCCAGAGGCTCCCGTACCGGTCTCCGTTCACTAGCCCTGGGACGGGATGGAAAAAGTGGAGATGAAGCGATGGTGATCCGATGACATGGCGTCGTGGGATGAATGATATTTGTGTTAGGTTAGCATCGGTTGGTGAGTCACAACTCCTTGATTGAGGTCCGATAGATAGCTAAAATCGGTGGCTCGAAACGTCATCAGAATCAATGGAAATGTTCATGCATTTATTCCCCTTGATGAATTTTGGAGAATGTACTGCAATTTTTGTATTTCTTCCCTTCATGATGATAAATGACGAATACTGTTTAAACTTGTTAAGTATGACTGTTTTCCTTGTAGATGGAATTCTTTATCCGTTCTCTACTTATATTTTAACATTTAATCCATGTTGTATTATTATTATTGTGTGGCACATCGTCTTGCTGCCATAGTATACCGAGTTTTTCTGCGCTTAAATAGTAGAAAAATTTCATATCGAAATCTGGGCAGCAACATAGAATCATCAACTGATTAACCACGAGCCTAACTTGTAGTGCATTACATGGAAAGCCAACTACTTGTGAATTATACTTCCATTTTCATGTCACTGATTAAAGCGTTAGTAGCTTCTACTTAATCTTACATAATCTTTCATACATCAGCAGCTGCTTGGGAGGCCTACTGCTTGGTAATTTTAGCTGATATCTAGTTCAATGCTTCCTTTCAAATAAATATTGTCGTTAAGCAATCTCGAAAATGAATCTCATCATTTTTTTCAGCCCTTTGAAGAAGTTCAACTAGAATTGGATCATTCTGCCGCAGCAGCAGCAACAGAAGATGTAGATATTAGTTCAACTGCTTTCATACAGATACCTTCACAACTTTCATTACCAATGCATCATATGCTTATGCATATAGTGTATGCTATGGGAAAACTTATGGTACATAAATCACTTCAGTAAGTTTTGTATATGAAGTTTTCAGTCGTTCTCATTATGACCAAAAATGCTTATTTTGATGCTGGCATGCACTTACAGCATACTATTAAGAATGTGATATCTGTTGTGCATTGCCATTGGGCGTGTCAGTGCAAATTTTTATGCAATGCTGTAATCTTGAAGTTGGTTAGTGTGAAGATGTTGTCATGGTTTAGCTTAGTATATATAGTCAGTGGCGAAATAGGTACCGAATACTCTCCTCGCTGTACTTATGCTTTTTTTTTAATTTTTCCGGAGAAATTGCCTTTACCTCAAGTAACTCGCTGTGATACATTATTTATCAGACTGAATAACGTTTCGATTACAACTCACATAATCATGAAGTTGTGATGCAATTTATTTACATCGTAACCATTATTGCTTTTTCTCAGGTCACTGTTATTTAGCTTTTTTCATTTCCAGCAACTGTGGAATGAATCGAGAGAGAGGCTGTAAAGCTAGAGAATATTTCCACTTGTTGTTGTTTGTTTTTACCTAGTATTTATGCACAAAAGTCTGATTGCTATACTCTTAATTTTAGAGCAAGAAAATAGCTTATTTCGAAAATGGATTTACAAGTAAAAGTGTCCTTCAACGTATACACATTATTTAATTACATGAAACTCAATGTTTCTCATCGCATCTGTTCTTCCAGCTATAAATTTTCTTTTTCTTTTTACCCACTTCAGAGCACCATATCATCATCTGTTTCTATCGAAGGTCTGTACAGCATTTATCAAAGTATACTCCACTATTGTTGATGACTTGTTTTCGCATCGTAATGTCACTACTGATCAATGCCCAGATGATGCATGTTTATGGTTATCTGATTCTCTACAAAAATTGTTACAAGCAAGAGCTTTACAAATAATCTTTGATTTAAAATTCTTCCAGCGCTTATTAGTTTCATCGATGTCGGTTAGTGAAATCATTGTTTTTCAAATGATTTGTGTATAATTTTGTTGTTGTAATTGTTGCACTTATCCTGTTCATTGATTAATGTGTGTATTGCTTCTATGAGATGTCAGTAATTATTACTTTCTTGAATAAATTCAGGTGAACGTTTAACTCATTGGGCATGGGATTTGATTAGCATTATTTAAGCTAGTGCGTCCTTGATTGGAGTCACTCTCCACCAACTTCAGCTTATCACTCCGTTACATTGAGAGATTTATCCAAGTAACCGAATCCTAGTTGAATAAATTTAATGATTTGATGGTCGGAATGCATATCTCGATGACAAGACGAGCTACATTGCCTGTAACAAATGCTTCTGCAGTTTCTATGATACCAGAAATGTTATTTGGCTAGTGGTAAAACTATCAGTCGGCAGTCTCATAATGTAAATCGATCACGTTACTTCTCTGGTCTCTCCGCTTTGTGGAGTGGGGTTTACAATAGGTCGATCCCGAAAATTGCATATCTCGCCTTATTTTACGGTGATCTCATAACCTATGGTAAGATCTTAATACGGATACAACTCCTAAAACCACTTCAAACTTGTGTGGATTTGCCTTCAAGCAGTTGTCCTGTAGGCTTTACGGTTATGCAACACCGATGGTCCTTCTGTTTCATGTATTTCAAGTAGTCCGGTTAGATCTGTTTAAGAACAGAATTTGGGCGCTATGGTAAAGTATAATTCCATCATAAAATAGTTTTATTTAATAAAGATAGTGATGCAGTATTATTCTTTGATAACGTCTAGAGCACAACTTTTAAGCTTAGTTTATATAATTTCATTATTTCATAGCCTTTGATTTGTATTGGTGGTACTATTTCCTCATTGAACTTATTTGGTGTGGATTCGATTAACCAAGATTTGGTAACCCTCCTCTCTCCGTATATATCTATATTACTTTTTAGAACTGTAGCAATTCTTGCTTAGAAAGTCTGTATTAGTGATTAATGGGATTATTATTTCCACTTATTTATTATTATTATTTTTGCTTTGTTCTTCACCCCTTTTCTGTTACAGAAAAATCAATTAGATACCTCATCTAGACATATCCAATCCATGATACAAGGATTAACATCTCGTTTAGAGACACTTGTTGATCCTTTTGATTGGAATGTATGCGCTTCTCGTTTAAACCGTAATGTGGCAAATACAATCACATCTACTTATCACCTTTATGCTACAATCATCGGACCAAATTCATTTTCACAAATTGAAACTCTAAGATGTTCTAAATCTACAGTAAAAGAGGAACCAGTTGAAAACAAGGCAACTTTTTCCTTTTTACCGTTTATTTCAGGCACAAAAAGTAAAGTCAAGCTGAATTTAAATCCACTGCCACTTAATTCATCTGTCTGCGTAAATAAATGGTCAGTATTGAGGACTGGAAACATGTATACCAAACAAATTTGAGGGTAAGTTTAATTTGGAGATAACCACGCACCATGGTGCGTAAAGTTATTTCAAATCATCATTCATAGTCATGTGAAATATTTGTCAATATTATCTGCCTAGTTCTGTAAGTCTTTAATGTTCCTGAAATAGACCAATGAGATGACATCAAAAATATTTTAAGGTTTCAGGAAATGTGAATTATTCTCAGTTGGATTCTTTTAAATTCAACGTGGTTACACAGATGTCTCAAACCGTAAAAGGATACTACATAAAAAGTGTTACGACGCATCGATAAGTAAAGGTAAAGAGAAGTAAGTTGTATATAAAATACAATGAAAAAGCTTTTTCTCTTCGGTGGTAGAAAATAATATTCAAATTTCACACTCATCGTCTTTCGTTTTCAAGATTTATTTGTCAACTCCTTAAGGTTGCGTTTTCGGGCGTTTCATTCTAGGGGCCACAATACCCTCATAAGAATAATCCTTCATCCCGCGTGACTACGACAGACAAACATTATCAAAATAGAATAGAGCGTTGCTGTGTACTTCTTTGCCTTGTTTACATTTAATATCTACTATAGTACACTATGAACTAGGTACTTTTCGCATTCCAATATGTCTAAAGATAAGTTTTATTTATCACATTACTCACACCAATAAATGTGTCAAAAATGAAGAGTGTAGACATATGTCATGCTAGTTCAACTTCAAAATGAATCGCATAACAAAGGATAGGTTGACTTTAAATCAGTTTTTAAATAATTTTACAGTACTGTTACCGGATACTTATTGTAATTTGAACGATGGTTTAATATTGTGTACTGTTTTAGGTTGTGATTATCGAATTTTATTTAAGTGTTCACCAGTTAACATTGTCTACCAATTCATCAGTATCAAGTGATCTTTGAAAGCACCATGCTAATCCAGCATTGGTTAGATCTGTGGTTTCACGGTATTAAAAAGCCAGGTATATTCATCGATGTTCGTCTACCACTACAGTTTGTTGTTTTCATTTCTCCCTTCAGTATATGTCTATATGAAGTATATTAATTCAGCTGTCCGTAAATTTGATTGTATTTTCATAGCAAATGGTTTGTATTGAAGCCTTTGTTAAGGTGAGCGCTGTTAGTGGCGCTTCTCAGCAAAGTGTATCGAAGTATAATCTTTTACCCACCTAATGCTCGATTTATGTGAATCAAATACTGACTTCAAATGCCTGATTCGCATCTTTCGCCGAATGGTATCAACAAAACTCAGCTCAAATAATTCAAGATGCTTGACACTTACATAATTTGTTTTGTAGAATGACTAATATTTTCTTCGTGTATTTCCAATCATTTACAAAGTTTTAACGAGTTGTGGAGTGTCTCCATCAATAGATGTTGTTATAACTGGCAGCCTATTATGATGCTCGGCACATTGTATAGGTGTGAAACTTTTCTCATCCATGTGTGCACACACAGGCATGAAACTGCATATAGAATACGAATAGTTCAACGGCAAGATATGTCAACTATTATCACTTCAAGTTTCTAAGTAAGTATAGATGCAAGGTATAAGTAGTTTGAATTTTCCCAAAACACTTGGTTTATAAAGATTAGCCCTCTTATTTAGGCCGTAATACGTGCTGCATGGATATAATACTGTTTGTTCACTGTGGTCCTAAGTTTTACCTGCACTTACACATTTTCATTGTAATGAGTCAAGCTGAAAACGTAGAAAGTGATCCAGCTGACGGGTACATAATTGTGTGCTGATAGGAGCGTAAAATATACTGACTAAATATTATTATCTTATTCGTAAAAAAACATGTCTACGCCTAAATTTCATCCTACAAACATCAGAAGAATCGCGTAAAACTATCGACCATCTTTATTTTGTGTCAGCTAATAATATCACTTTGGTAAGTCGAACTTGTGTTTAAGCCTGTTCAGCTCGTATTTTTGAGAAGCTAGCCTAAATTTTGTACACCTAGACATGAATATCAATAGCCACCGAATTGTTCTCGCAGCTTTTGATGGAGGAGGGGAAAGTGAACTCCAGATGCCTGAAATGCAGGTGCTAATGAAGTGTAATAACTTTCGATATCACAAAACGCCTGAAATTATTTCATTAAAAATTTAAATACTCAGAACTGTTAACGTCTCTTCAAGTGCTTTTTTAAATAACCAGTCGAAGGTCATATTTTTCGCTCTTATTCTGTTAGACATATTCATAATGTTATGCCATATATACGAAATTCTTAAGATTATTCGGGAAGTATTTAACCTATATTGTTTAATTTTTCTTAACAGAGCCGTCTCATGCCCATAGAAAAGTGTGGACAGTAATAAAAAAAGACCCTAGTATTGCTGTGCAGTGATCCAAATTGTTATGCTTCAATACCTTCACATTAAATGCCCAAGTGCCTATAAATACCTGTTGATCACAACTTAAAGTACACATTCTCTTAGAATGTGTATTTTCGGGATACTCACTACCCAGTTTCTCCAAACAATTGCAAATATAAATGTTCTTATTAAAACGTGAAAGCCGATCCTGATATTTCTTCGTACGTTGTTTTTCCATGTAGTTTGTTCATTTTCTACTAATTTTGCCTTATCTGTGATCGTTTTTCAGTCTGAAGGTTCCATACATACTGTCACTTTATCTTATTTTTTATGGTGATCGGTTATAACATATCCTAATAGTTTGTAGTGGATGTTTTTAACTTTTAATTTGTTTCAAAAATAAACAAACCACATAGCCCATCAAAGCCTTTAATCATTTCATTTATACATTATGCTTGTCAGTAGAAATTTTCTGGTTTTTTCGTTTGCCAGGATTAAATTGTATATATCATAGTACTTCTCAGTAGTTAGCGTTTCCTGTCTTCTACATTCATTTATCATGTAAGTACATTTACCATGGTAGTAACTGATTCTGATTTGCTTCATGCTCTAGACTTCAATATTTTACTCAGGTGTACCATCTTTCTAAGGTATCTTATTTGTAAAACAACGTGTTGGATTCAAAGAGACTGCATTGTTCGATAATACGCAGTAATTTTAAGTGTTTTCATCGTCTACTTGATACAGCTAGCCAAGAACATCTCTAACATTCAATTTACAATCGAATTAGGCTGGCCAAAACATTCTGCTTTGAATAGACTATCCCACCAACCAGGTTCATTTGTTCAAAACGCTACTTACGTTTAAAAAAATTATTTTTATATCAACAAATACAAATATATTCCTAACAAACGATAGAAAGAGATATGCAAAGCTTGTTATATAAAGTGAGTGGTTAAACTCTTCCGTCTAAACTGCTGTGTTGAATTTGTGACCAAAGCTTCTTGTGACAGTGTAATGCCATCTTGAAAAAAACGTCAAAAAGATTATTGGTAGTATATGCGATGTATGAGCAACTATTTAGAACAAACGCACACTAAAGTTTGAGTATTTAACTAGAAAAACAGATTTCATTTTTTCATTTATCTCAGACCAAGAAGCATATGGGATACAAAATATGTTCCTTAAATCAGCTGATTACTAACTGAGTTTTCCTCATCATTACTTTTTCTGTTGTGTTGGATCACATGTCAAGTGATCCACAACGGAAAACTCAGCGAGGCGTTTGGAGTAAACACAGGAATCAGACAAGGGTGCTTATTATCACCAATGATATCCCTAATTGTGGTGGACTGACTGGATTATGCGTCAGACAGTGGGAAACGAGAAGACAGGAATATCCTGGACAGACAGACGTGAAGAACCTAGAAGACCTGGATTTCGCGCGTGGATGATTTATGCTTGATGTCACACACAATCGAAGACTTACAAGGGAAAAACGACGAACTGGTCGAAGAAGCAGTCGGCGAAGACAGGACTCCATGTGAACAAAGACGGAGGTTATGAAAATAACCAACCAACAACAGCAACATCCAGCGCCAATCACCATCAACGGGAGGGATTTGAAAGAGGTTACTCCGTTCACTTATCTAGAAAGGGAGCGTTGTCTCAACTACAGGCAGTCAGAACGGATGAGGATGTCAAATCGAGCGAGAATCGGGAAGGCGAGAAACACATTCATCAACTTGAAACAAATCTGAAAATCTTCGTCACTCAGCCAGCATCAACAACAAAATACCGTCGAATTTTCAATACAAATGTCAAGTCAGTCAGCTTTTCTATACGGATCAGAAACTCGGCGGGCGGGCGGGTCACAAAGAATATTTCCAACAGCCTGTTCCAGACCTTCATCAACAACTGTGTTCGCTGGCGCTATACTGAAGATCAAATCGCCGGGCCGGGCCGGAAAGAATCACCAACAAGAAACTATGGGCACAAAGAAAACAAAACAAGAACCAATCGCCCAAGAAATATGCAGGAGAAAGTGGAGGTGGATTGGACACTCGCTGAGGAGACCGCTGGGTGAAATCGCGCTTCGGGCCCTCGAGTGGAATCCGAAAGGGAAGCGGCAAGTGGGATGTCAGTGCAAGGGTGACATGGGGGAGATCGTGTGAAGAGGAGTTGAAACAGCATGGACTAACATAGATGCAGGTGAAAAGTACAGCAGAGGCAAGTGGAGACGTGCAGTTGAAGCCGTATGTTCCACTAGGAACCCTAAGGGGACAATGATGATAATAATTCTACAAAAAAGTAACCCCCCTTGTATACTATTATGCCAGTTTATTGAAGTAATCTTCATCACAATCAGTGTGTTTTGTAGTGGCTCATATCTATGTTAACATGCAGTGGTCTGTACATATGTTAAAAAAGGACCGTTTTTGATACTTTATGGTATTCTCCGAAATACAAAGATAATTGACAATAAAAATAATTTGTAGACCACGTTCTCTAGTGATTACACGTAGGCTCTAAAAACAAATGAAGAATAGGATCTCAACAGTTATGTCAGTCTGAAATTCAGCAAACTTTACATTATTGTTTCTTTATATTATGAGGTTTATGATATGGTCCATTTTATTGAATGAAAGATGTAACTTACTTCTGCGATTTTTAGGCGTCTGTTGTATATATTTTGTTTACTTGTTAAATCTCGTTCTTCGCTCACAAGCTTGACAAAATCTATCACAGACGGTACGCGATACGATGATATATGGTCTTCGTATTTTTCGTTAAGGTTTCTTTCTTTTATGAGTTCCTTCACGCAAAAATAGGGAAGCAGATTTTTATTATGCACACATGCGCTGAAATGACATTTACTACTGATGACAAACCAAATTAGGAATACGCTAAATTACGTCGGTTCAAACAGATACATTCCCTAGAAGTTCACATAATATAAGAATGGAAATATAGTTGCGACACGATGAGTGCGATAGATAGAACGAATAAATATAGCTTTTTAGAAGCCGAACTATGATAAGTACCACTATTAACAATTACGAACCATCTCATCAAGAGTTTTCAAAGAGGTTGTTTCTAGCGTCCTATGGACCTCAACCATGCTCTATCTACCACAGGTTCGAGAGAGCAGTCACGAACGTCATGCGCTGATGTCATGTTTTCATCTTATAGCTCTTTTCCAAGATGATCGTGCTACATTCAGCTGTACTCATTTTCAAATCACTATAGACTCTATGAATCATAGGTGCTATATTATTCAGGCTATTCGAACCCCGGTGGGTGCGTACTGACGAAGAGTCCTAAACTAGGGTGAAACAGCTGTCCAGTACTCCCAGGTTTTCCAATGGTACTCTAACTGATATCAGCTCATAATGGAATCCTGTAACCATTCAACCAAATCCCTACAAACCAATACTTGAATATTCGATCTTTGGTTGTTTCAGAAAGATTTATTGCCTTTCTTACAGAGATATCAACAACTATGTAGACCGGCTTATGGAATCATCTCTACACCAAACATTCCTCTTCGGCTTGACCACCAAGTGCTGTTGATTCGCTTAGCTTAGACATAGCATTTACAACCGTTTTCTGCATCCAAACGAAGGCAGATGGAAATTAGTTCAGTTCCTTGTGGAAATTATCTGCTGAATGACCAATCATCCCATTTAAGCAGTTTCGATTGTTTTATCTTACTTGAAGATCATAAAAATCCCCCAGTTGCTAGTTATCGACTGCTTTCGTCACTGTCTCGTATATCAAACAGGATATTATGATGACCTTCTTAAGGATGACTGTTACTATAGTGCTTAGGTAACTTTTCCTTAAATAGCAACCTGATGCTTTTATCAAAGTGGTGGACGCAGAGATGTTTCGCCGCCGCTTGTTTTCTGCGTCTCTTCAGTCACAAAAACATGATATACGTGAACGCTGATTCTTTAGAAAGAGAAGTAATCGAGTACTGTTAGCCACATAGTATCTCTCTCTTCATTATTTGAACTTATATGATTCCAACGCGAAACAGTGTATTTAATAGCTTCCCTTGTAACCGGAAAGTCCTGGCTTCGAACCTCAGTCGGCGCGTACTGCCAATGATTACCAAACTAGGGTGAAACAGCTGTCCAGTACTCCCTGGTTTTCAATAGTTCTCTAACTGATACCGATCCGTGGTCAAATTCGTAAAAACAAATCTAATCCTTACAAACCAACCATTGAAACAGTGTATCATTGTTTCTGAAATTAGTGCTGGTCAAGAAAATATGATTGTCTATGCAGTTAGTTCAAGTAAGTGAGAAGAAATGCCTAATGACTACAAAATCACCATGTATATGTTCCAAATGATGAAAAATTAATTACTACCTGCTTTGCTAATATATTCTCAGTTTCGATACGTCTTTGCATTTCTTGGCGTTGGTTTTGTTCTTCCATAAGATATTTTTGTTCGTGTAATGCTTCATTTAGTTTTTTCTAGATTCAATAATCAGTTATATATGATAAACCCACCCTGTGTCCATTTAATATCTGAAGAGTTCTAGCAGCGACTATTTTCATTTTTTGTATGATACGATTTTTTTCGTCTATCTCTGCAAGGCATTTCGTATTATCTATTTTCATTTGTTCAAAGTCAATTGCACTGAGTACTTCTCCAGTCTCTTTCTGCCTCAATTGTTCTTTTGTTTTTTTCAAAGTAGTCTTCAATGAACTGTTTTTTAGACGAAGCTTGTCACATAGGGTATCCTTAAATGTGTTAATTATGATAAACCATGATTTATTAGAATTTGTGATGAAAATCGAAAATACCTTCAACTTAGTGAATTAGTCGAAAAATTTGTGAGAAACTAATTATTATTATTAGTTACTTTTAATTACACAATACTAATGGATGTCCATAAGCCGATATTTGTGACTGTCATCATTGCCTATTTGCGGGTGCGAAACAAATAAATTTCTATATATTCTTTTCAGTGATATCATTTTCTAGACGTACAATCTCACATACATATAAAGTACTTTTTCCTAATAATAATAATATTTCCACATATGTGTCATTAGAATTACAAATTTTAGATAAAATATTACGGAATCTAAAAACCCGTCAATCAAGTAGAAACTAAAGTAAAATTAAATAAGTGAATTGCATGACGCAATGTAATTGACGGGATTAAGTAGAATTCAACTAAAATTGTGTGAGTCAAGTTAGCAACAGTGTTGATAAGGGGCAGACATCTCGTATGGGACAATGGGAAAAAATATTACAATTAAAAACTAAGGGACAAAATTTACTCATCCAGTGTTAAGACAGATCATGTCCACTGTAGGCTTAGTGACTGAACAAACCTTTTGTATGCAGATTTAGGGATCTAACATATGAATTGCTTTTGTCGTTTGATTCGTATTCTCAGCAACATTCCCATGTATGCTGTAGATGACTTTGAGAATGGTTTGTGTGTTAACTTGGTGTCCAGATTCGATCATATGTTCCAGGATACAGCTGCGGGTTCACATTGATTTCTCTTCTGAACTCCTATGAGAGAGTCTAGCTGCAGAATGCAACATGTGTTGAAATTATATACCAGTGAATTCGCAATTCCTATAATAGGGAGTGAGTTCGCCTATATTATTGTGAATGATCTTGAGTCATATCATCAAGAATTTCCAGTTAGTAACTTATATTGCCTCAATGACACCACGGTCCCCAAAGCCTCAGGATGGTCGGGGGTGGGTGCCTTGCGCTGCGGGTTGGCCACCCCTCCGCACACCTCTTGAAATGCTCCCATATGACCGGGCGTCTTACATAGCCTCTCCTGAGGAAGTCCTACTCACTGCCTTCACGTGGCGGAGGTGTTTCGCACCAAAGTGAGAGGGCGAAAGCGGATGCCCGGCGCTCTCCACTTGGTTGACTGTCCATTGGATTACAGTCTAGGGGAGATGGCTAAACCCTGATCCCAAACCTCCAACGACTGCCGTATGAAGCTCACCGGCAGACGTATGGACAAAGGGCTTGTTGGATGTCCTGGATGTCTGGCCCCATTCAAAAAGGCGTATGAACCGAACTCCGGTCACCGGCTGCCAATGGATAGTGGACTCCTTACTCCACTCCTACTGCCTTGTAGGTCACACTTGGCTGTGTAAAGGCTAGAGCTGCACTCTCAAACAAAAGGCCGAGCGATGCTGGGGACATCACTCGTACCAAATTCCCATGAAACTTCATGAACTCTCTTACAAATTGCCGTGCCTGGGCAGCGATGATTCGAGACGTTCATGAAGCCGGCTCATCCTCCCGTAGGAGATAGCCGAAGTAAAGTAAAGTAAGTAAGTAATGACACCACGCCAGTAATCTACACAGAGTCCCTTGAAGCAGCATTCATGAACTTGATACCATTACGCGGTTTGACCACTCCTAACTTTCCCCCGATTAAATCTTACTTCCCCCTGGCAATTATATTGTATATTATTATTATTATATAATACTCTTTGGGAAATGAGGCGTTTTGTCATTGCCAACTGACGTCACATTCAAGTCATTTCTTAGGGATTCACAACGTTATCAATTGACTTACAATCCCATATTGACACTCCACATGAAATCTCATCGAATGTAAGCAGCCATGGTCCTTTCACTTAAATAGTTATGTTTCATAGCTATAACGTAGGATAAGTATATTTACATCAAGTCATTGTCGAAGATAGAGCAATGTGTTATGTGCCAAATGGGGTTATTTCATCTGTTCTGAGATTACATCGAAAGTCCGATCTGTATGAGCGATAATATTTCTAAAATAATTCAGTTATTTCACTAACTTTCCTTAGATTCGAGTTAGTGAAGACTTGTCGTGTTGTGCCATCTTACACCTCATAGAAGTACATATGTTTAGTTCGAACTTTCAAGATCCCTGCACTCCAACTATATTGCCCATATACATTGAGTCAAAGAGATCATGTTCTATTATTAAGTTAAGCACTGTGCTGAACATTTTGTAGTAGGAACTTTCTTCCAAGAATATTTCGAACTGGATAAGCAGCACTAGTCTACTGTTCTGAGAGAAATCATATCGTCTTCAGGTAGTCAGGCCTATTTGAAACTGAGAATGCAAGTGTTCATTTAGTGGCTCATTCCTGAAAGTCACTTCTTGACTGGATCCCAGTAGACATTCGTATGTGTATGGCCCGTTAGAAGAAGGAAGGACGGCGTTGCCCTTCGTTGTCTTTTCATAGTCTCCGCTTATACCCCAACAGACTGCAGTTCGGATGAACTAAATGATGACTTCTACCGGAAACTGTCTAATTTGCTGCATAAAGCAAAACTTCACATACAGTTGGTTTAGCAGGCGACTTCAGTGCCCAAGTAGGGAAGTTCTGCCAGCCTGAGAAGTATGTAGGTGTTACGTATGGAATTCCCTGCCGACGAACCGACAACAGTAATTGTATTCTGCAGTTCTGTTCAGATAATCATCTGTTCCTAATCATCATTAACTTGAAGTACAAAGAGAGACACTGCATAACCTGGCGACCTCCATCACCTAATCAACACTGGACACAGATAGACCACATAGCCATAGGGTATCGTCGGTGAGGGTCAGTAGAAGGCTGCCGCTCCTTCTGGAACACGTGCGTAGACTCCGATCACGCCCTGGTTCGCACATATTTGCGTTTACGAATAAACGGGCATGAAAAACTGTTGGCAGTGAAGCAGTTGCGTCCCCAGATAGATCGAGACTCAGGGTCCCTAGTTATGGAAGAAATATCGAAACGAGTATCTCAGGTCGACAGCAGGACTCCTCCTGAAGAAGCCTCACACAACATATAGCTGGCTATAGACACGGTTATAAGAGCTGTTGATAACCTGAAACCTAAAGTTGATAAGAGCCATTTGATTTCTACCACTTCATCCGAACTGACTGATGCAAGAAGACTGATTCCGGCGAGATCCAATTATGATGAAGAGCGAAAGCTGCTCAAATGCAAACTAACAAGAAGCCTCCGAAACGACCGTGAACAGTGGTGGGTGACAAAAGCGAAAGAGATGGAAAAGGCACCAGTGATTGTTAGTACCAGACACCTATTTAGGCTTATCAGTGAAACAGGTGGCAAAATGCAGATTATGAGGGAAACAATCTCTGAGAAACATGACACCATGAATAGCTCTCAGGATAAACGACTAGGACGTTGAAAAGAAGACTTTGAGGGGTAATTCGATTCGCCTACAGCCACGGCAAACCTACCGAACATCCAACACGTCCCTGAATGGGATATAAATACTGGTCCTCCATGCCTAACTGAGGTCACAAAAGCTGTCACTAATCCGAAACGATGCAAAGTTGTGGGACCTAATCGAATGACTTCAGAGGTGTTTTAGGATAATGGAGACAGTTTACTGTCTCCGTTAACCAAGGTATTAGGCAGTGTCTGGGAATCAGAGGAAGTACTGTCGGATTGGTGTAGGTCATTCATTAATTCAAGTATGAGAAGGGATACAAGTCTCCCTGTGATAATCACAGGGGGATTAGCTTGACTAATATGGTATCTAAAGTTCTAGGCTCAATAATAACTCGTAGACTAAGCGGTCCACTGGAGGTTCAAACACGAGAAAATCAGGAAATCTTTAGAGGGTGTATTGATCATATCTTCACCCTTCGACAGATTCTGGAACATAGGCATACTTAACAGGATCCAACAATCGCTATATTTCTTGACCAAATAGTGCATTCGATTCTGTCGACCGAGATGTTTGACCGTAAAGGGGTGCCGAAAAAATACACTGCACTGATCAAGGCACTCTACTGTAAATCATGCAGTCAGCCGGGTGTGTGGAGTACGTAACAATGTGATTGTACACTTTTTGGTTATTTGTAGAAATTAGAGATATTGTACAATCACATTGTTACGTACTCCACACACCACAGGTGAAAGCCTACAGAGACATGTCACTTGAAGTGGTGACAACTAGTGGTGTCCGTCAGGGATACGCACTGTCCCAATTTCTATTCAATTTCATTATAGATGTACTACTAGTAGACTTAACCCTAACTGACTTCAGAGACTCAAGGATGGACTTTTTATCAGGGAATAATCTCGTTGACTTAGAATATGCTGATGATATAGTCCTCCGCGCTAGGTGAAGGCACTGACAAAATGCAGAGTCTTCTGAACACTTTGAGCAGCAATCTGCGTGTGTTCGGCATGCAATTCGCTCCTGCGAAATGCGAGATGATGCTACGGGATTGGACTGAAATACATTGACTCCTAGCTTACAGGTATGTAGTGAAGTGGTAGAGCGTGTTGACCACCTCACTTATTTGGGAAGTTGCATCATCCCCAATGGGTCGATGACTGACGAAATCTCTGCACGGATACAGAAGGCTCGTTTAACATATTCCAACTTACTCCATATCTAGCGCTGTAGAACCAAGGGTGTGTGTACTGCTCAGCAATCCGCTCTATCCTTCTTTATGACTGTGAGCGAGACATGGCCATTGAGAGTGGAGGACAGGAAGAGGCCGGCTAGCTGTCTTTGATCATAGGTGTCAGCGTTCTATCTTCCGTGTGTAGTGGTAGATTAAGGTGAGCGATATTGAGGTTAGGCTTTGGTGGAGAGCTAGGTAAGGAGGGGAAATCAATGGATGAGGGTTGTGAAGTTACACCGATTGAGATGGTTATGACATGTGTTACGCATGCCTAGCCATCATCTATTTTCTTCCTCAACAATGGGCAATGTTAGCTAGATGACATAGGATCAGGTTGGAGGAGACAGCTAGTGGTAGTCAAACTAAAACATGGCCTCATCAGGCAGCGAAGTTCACAACAGTGAGTTTAAGTCACATAGGAAGTTGTAGACTTGCCGGTTGGAGGCAATCAGTGATATGGCTGAAAATCGTTCTCAATGGCGCAGATGTATCCACTCCTGGTGTCTTATAATATGTAATTAAACTCTATTACTCTTCTGTATTATTCTTTTTGCTTTCTTCCCTTGCTTTGTGTGATCTATTTTGAAACCAGTCAGTCAATTCTGCAAGACATCAGTAGGCTGTTCATCATAGTGTAAAATAAGGTGATTTTAGAACTCATGCAACAATATCAAACATTGATGAAGTAAATGACGAAGTTATATAAACCTTAAAGGTAGCTACAACGCAATAGATATGTCACACAAAATATTTTTTTTAATATACTTGCCATTGATTTGCAATATTCATCCGAAATTCTTACGTATCTTTCTGAAGAAATCACTCTTGCTCCCCCGGAGACGAACTCTTTGCTAATGAGTTTGCCAAAAAAGCTGTGGTTTTTACGAATTTCTTTGTGACGCGATTTCAGCTCCTCAGATAACGCCTAAATAGTTTTGGCTCAAGAAATCTTTATTTGTATACTTTATGAGTGTCCAGCTTGCCATCAAAATCAGCTTTAAGTCGCTCAACATGATTTTTCAATTCTTCATATTGTGTTTGCAATATCAAACATTTTTGTTCGAAGGAGAGAGTAACGAATCTATCAACTGCAGAACTCCTGCTTTTCGAACGCTTCCTAACTAAAGATGCCCTCCGGCTGACAGATGGTAGTGATTTCCTAAGTTAATTTACTGATAACGTTTCACCAAATATAGATCACCAACTCAATTTCCATATCCAGTTTTGACATAAAATTCTTATAGCATTCATTTTCCAAAACATCTTTGGAGGTACAAGACCTTTTCTATGTGAACACTAAAAGTCACATGTTTACTTTAATTCTTCAACAGCTTTCTCTAACTCTTCAACTGACAAGTTTTCCAACTCATTCTGAATATCCTTGATTGTGCTTAACATCAGTGAAACGATGACAACGACCTTGAAACTGTTTAAAACAAGCTTAACTAATAATAACAGGAATCGTGTCGCTTTTTTAGTTTACCTATGAGAGTTCTCGTTTTCATGCTGAATTCTTCTGTCATAAATTTCAGTGTTTTAATGCAACCAGAAACCCTAGAAATGGCACCGCTTTGGATGGCTAGTTCCACCTCAGTACATTAATTATGGCGAATGGCTTTCTTATACATATATATCCACTTATTATGGTGTTGTTGTCCATCGGTATGATGGTTTAATGATGAGTAATGTTTTTAAGTGCTTTCTGAGTGAGATTTCGTATAAGAAAATTTTCGCGACCTATATAGTACAAGTGGCTTAATGTAATTCAACCGGGTTACATTTGCTGCAATTGTGTCACTCGATACTGATATGCAACAGATTAAAAGAGATATTAAGTTTATTCTCACGAAATCATGCTAGTGTAATTGACCTATTTACTGAAATTAGAACCGCTATGGTTAAGGAGATTGAAGTGCGACTTATTTCTACTCTTCAAAGTCATAAGGAAACATTGTTACAGTAACTCATCTATAGCGTGGACAAATAATGAATTGTATTGTGGTAATGTGATACAGACAGTTTGTGGCAACGGAATATTTTTCTCACATATTCCCACAGTTTAATTTGGCATTAGCAACAGAATCCTAGCTGGCACTTTTCGATTATTGCAATTCAATTGCTTAGTTACATAAAACTCAGTTCTCTGGTGTTTCTGACCGCGAAGTTTTGGAGATTATTGCAATCCGTTTGCTTTCGAACACTAAACCTGTGGATATAATCTTGTTGACTACTTATATTTATAACAAACTTTTTGGCATTTTGTGAATTTTTAACACTAACTCATATCTGTAATTGTATATATTGTTGGATTTATATGTTCAAGTTGGCTTAAATCAGTCAGTCTTTGGTTTTGGTATCATTTTAGTTAACTGTGCTTAACTGTATTGTATGTTGTTGCATTGTATTATTGTTGTGGCTTGTCGCTCTTTTTGCTGTGAATTATAATCCTTTTGCTGGTGTTGTTCTGATTGTTTTATCCCTTGTTTTCCGATTTTAAGGGGAGCAAACCACAAGGTCGCTTCTCTCTTAACTTTATCTTAATGTAACAATTCCCTTCTCAGGCGTGAGGCTAGTAACCCAACCGTGTAAACGAAGTTGCTACAGAAACTTCAGCTTGATGAACCTCTTTGCACCAAAAGGAAAAGTCTGTGTGGGGACATGGAACGTCCGAACTATGTACGAGACCGACAAAGCTGCCCAGATCGCCAACGAGATGAAAAGATACGGAATCCAAGTACTGGGAATATGTGAAAGCAGATGGAACGGGAATGGACTCACCAAATTGTCAACGGTTGAGTCAGTGATCTACTCCGGTCACCCAGAAGATAACCACACGAACACCGAGGGCGTGGCTATCATGATGTCACCAACGGCAACAAAGGCCTTGATGCAATGGGGGCGATCTCGTCCAGGATAATGACCGCTAGATTCAACTCAAAAGGAAGGAAAGTGTCAATTATACAATGTTACGCACACACAAACAACGCAGACCTCGTAAAGAAAGAAGAATTCTACAGACAACTACAGGCAACAATGCACAATACTCCAGCTGGCGACATTAAAATACTAATGGGAGACATGAACGCCAAACTAGGAACAGACAACACAGGAACGGAACTCATCATGGGCAGAGAAGCTCTCGTGGAAATGAATGAAGATGGAGAACTCTTCGCCGACTTCTGCGCCTTCAACGAACTAGTGATTGGTGGCAGTGTATACAAACACAAAGACATCCACAAGGCTACATAGGTGTCACCAGATAGGCAAACCAAAAACCAAATTGACTTCATCTCAATGCTGCTCAAGGAAGTGGAGGCGCAGCCTACTGGACACAAAAGCAAGAAGAGGAGCAGACGTTGGCTCAGACCACTATCTCGTACAAGGGACAATCCAAATCAAACTAAAAGTTTTCAGAGAAGGAGGAGCTGCAGACAGACCACAAGCCAAGTTCAACGCTCAAAAACTGAATGACCAAAATACAAAGGACATCTTCACTGCAAACATAAGGGAAAAAGCCGAGACATAAATCAACACCAGCGAAAAGGTTAGCGTCGAAAAGCACTGGGACAACCTGAAAACGGTGTGGGGTCAAACCTACATACAAATTCTAGGCAGAAAAAAGAAAAACAGGAGTCGAATGCGAGCTGCAATACACTGAACAAAAGAGTGAAGAAGAGTGCCAGGGAAGACAAAAGAAAGTATTATGAAACCATGGAAACTGAAGCGGAACAAGCTGCAGGCAAAGGAGACCTCGCCACACTCTACCAAACAACTAGGCACCTATCGGGCAAAAGTTCGACACAGATTAAGCCAATAAAGGACGACAATGGAAAGTCAATCACCAATGAGGTAGAACAAAGAAAACACTGGGCTGAACGCTTCAAAAGACTTCTAAATCGACCACCACCTACAACGCGCACAACAATACTAACAACGGAAGCAGATCTACCAGTGGACATCGACCCCCGATGATATCAGAAGTCCTGAATGCAATCAAGAAGCTAAAACCTGGAAAAGCAGCAGGACCAGATGGAATCCCAGCAGAAGCATTGAAAATGGACGCAGAAAAAACAGCGGACTTGGTGACCTCATGGCTAGAGAAGGTGTGGAAAGAAGGCAAGGTACCTGAGGATTGGAAGAAAGGATACTCATTCAAACTATCAAAGAAAGGAGACTTAAGTCAATGCAAAAGCTGGCGCGGAATTATGCTCCTGTCTATCCCAAGTAAAATAATAAGCCGCATCATCCTGGAGAGAATCAAACAAGCTGTCAATGGAGTTGAAGATTGAACGATCAATTCTTGGTTGTTTGCTTAAAATCAACTTCCCCAATTTTCGCGGAGGCATCAATACGACAGTCATCGTCTCATCGGTCGCTGTTCAGAAAGAAGAGTGAAACATCGTCAGAAGTAATCTTATGATTTATTATTGTAATATTTGTTTTCAGACCTTAGTTCGCTTATTCCTTTTATATGTTGGTGTAACAATAAACAAATCTCAAGCGGCAGATCGGTGTTTTGGTTTTTTCGTCCGTTATAACTAAGCGTTTCCGAAATCTTCGAAGAACAGCGTGGGCCCGAGCGTAGCGAGAGCTGGGCATTAACGGTTTATGAGACGTGATTGACAGTTTCTGACGATAGAAACAGATCTGGCGGATTGAAACAGTTGGTGAAAGTTTGGATAGTCGCCGTTCATTTTTCCTGGTGCCGGTCAAGTCCTCTTTGAACAAGCAATATCTGGAACTTTTTGGAATTGGGTCAAGTTCAACAATGCCTGGGTCAAAGAAGGGACAGAGTGTCTTGGATGCAAACAGGAAAGTAAGTCATGGTGACTTGTCTGTTAATTGTAACGATGTGTCTGATGTTAAGCATGACATGGTTGATGTTACTGTTTCGCCGTTCAGGGATAATAGGAACATCAAACTCCCTAAATTTGAACCACGGTGTTTTGATGGAAACCCGGCTGATTATTTACAATTTGTAAAGGAGTTTGAGATCATGTTGAGTGGTTTTTTATTAAATGATGAATTGAAGTTAATGTATTTGATGAGATATTGCACTGGAGATGCTGCAAGAGCTATACAGTGCTGTAAGTTTATGAAGCCAAAAGAGGGCTACTACGAGGCTATGAGCATATTACGTCAAAGGTTTGGAAGACCTTCGATGATTGCAGGGAAATTATTCGAGGCTGTTAAGGGTAATGGTGGTCAATTACAGGATGACTCCCAGGCACTCACTGAGTTTTTAGATAATTTGCTAATTTACAAGAATGGAATGATTTCGATGAATCGCATGAGTGACCTCAACTCGAGTTTTATACTAGAAGTAATAGCAAGACGTCTACCTACTCGACTGCAAAGGAAGTGGGTGAAGATAAGCTCCCGTATGGAGGATGAGGGTATCGAGCCAAAGTTTGATGATATCCTGAAACTGGTAAATACTAGTGTCAATCAATCTATGAGCAAGTTCGCCAGTCTATTACATCTCACCCCTAGAATAGAGCAGTCTGAGAGCAAAATGCAATCATTGATGACGAGTAGGCCTCAGAGAGGTGGATATCGAGAAGCTCCATGATGTCTAGTAATGCATATAGACCTAGTGAGTGTAACAGGTTTCGTAGTACATCCTCAACAGATAAGTTACAAGATGCAAGACAAACACGGTTTTGTTTTACACGTGTGCAAGAGGTGCATACAGAAGTGAACTGTGAACCAGTGAGCAAGTTCAGTGATAAGCTAAATGTAAACTCCAGGCCTGACTCCGAATTGTGTGAC